TTTCAATCCTTCTAAATAAAATCTTAATGAGAAACCCTCTTCACAAAAGGCTGGACGAAACAATCTTAGGAAATGTATAATTAATCCTTAATTAATAACACTAATTCCAAATGAAGATCTGTATGTTTCTTAACTAATTTGAGATGGGGTGAATTAATAAATACTTTTTGGATGAAAGAAATGGAGTCAATGTTTTAGACCCTACATACGATTTCTGAGAAGTGGTGTAAAGGATGTAAAAATTGGTACAATTTGCACTTCGTATTCTTCCTTTGTTTAGTCTTTAATCAATTCACCATATTTAGGAATAGAGCAGCTGATTTCTGTCTCTAACAGCTGAAATAATGATGGCTTCAAAAAAATCTTGCTCAAAATCTATAAGGACAAATTTTTGCCTTTATTCTCAATGTCTTAGTTTGCAGATCAATTATAAGAACAACTAACTTGCTTTGATGAGATAGTATTTTTCTTGAGCAAATCTAGTTAAGTCTCGAAACTTCTAATATTCTGAGGCAATTTGCCAAATTCTTCATAAAGCAAGTCAATTCTAGTTTAAGTACATAGACCAGAGAGGATAATTCATATCTGATAACAACGTGATAAACTTGCTGTTGCTCAATCATTACGGTTAAAATTACATTATATGCAGAAAAACTACTTTAACTTGCGCCAACATATACTGGTTCCCTCTTCATGAAAAGTATTATCAATAATAAACGGATTGTAAATATCTCAAAATAGTATGAAAAACTTTAACACATCCTCTCAATAAATGCACTTTTTGCTGGATTAAAAAGCATCCTTTTCATAGTATTCTCAGTACACTCAGTGAATTAAATTATGTATAACTTATAGATATAAACTAATAAGTATTTAAACACGCTGTTTTAAATTTAGTAAATCAAGTAAGATGACAGCAAATCCAATCTGATAATGTAGAATATACGAGGANTGGGATCTTTACAAATTATGTATTAATTAATACAACTTGAGTATAATTTATTAGGGACTGTTTCAGATATTAATGCATATTATATTTATATTGTAAAATTTAAAGTATAGTTCTTGTTCTATTTTAAATGCTAGGTTTGCTTCTCTATGTAATGATAATTACTACAAATTTATCCATGTTAGTATGAGATATCCAAAATGTTGTAACATGTTGTGCCAACTTCTCAATTGTCAATTTAGTACTATAATATTATAGTTACATAGTGTAAGAATTGTATATTGAAGCTAATCTTTTGTTCGGATTAAGTGCTTTTTATATTATTGCTAAGGAGACTGAAGAATTAACAAACCAAAACTCATTTAAAATCAACTGTTTTACCAATTTATTTCAATCCTTGTAAATAAAATCTTAATGAGAAACCCTCTTCACAGAAGGCTGGACGAAACAACCTTATGAAATGTATAATTAATCCTTAATTAATAACACTAATTCCAAATGAAGATCTGTATGTTACTTTACTAATTTGAGATGGGGTGAATTAATAAATACTTTTTGGATGAAAGAAATGGAGTCAATATTTTAGAGCCTACATACGATTTCTATAGAGAAGTGTAAAGGATGTATAAAAATTGGTACAATTTGCACTTCGTATTCTTCCTTTGTTTAGTCTTTAATCAATTCACCATATTTAGGAATAGAGCAGCTGATTTCTGTCTCTAACAGCTGAAATAATGATGGCTTCAAAAAAATCTTGCTCAAAATCAATAAGAACAAATTTTTGCCTTTATTCTCAATGTCTTAATTTGCAGATCAATTTTAAGAACAACTAACTTGCTTTGATGAGTATTTTTCTTGAGCAAACATCTAGTTAAGTCTCAAAACTTCTAAAATTCTTAGGCAATTTGCCAAATTCTTCATATAACAAGTCAATTCTAGTTTAAGTACATAGACCAGAGAGGATAATTCATATCTGATAACAACGTGATAAACTTGCTGTTGCTCAATCATTACGGTTAAAATTACATTATATGCAGAAAAACTCCTTTAACTTGCGCCAACATATACTGGTTCCCTCTTCACGAAAAGTTTTATCAATAATAAACTGATTGTAAATATCTCAAAATAGTATGAAAAGCTTTAACACATCCTCCCAATAAATGCACTTTTTGCTGGATTAAAAAGCATCCTTTTCATAGTATTCTCAGTACACTCAGTGAATTAAATTATGTATAACTTATAGATATAAACTAATAAGTATTTAAACACGCTGTTTTAAATTTAGTAAATCAAGTAAGATGACAGCAAATCCAATCTGATAATGTAGAATATACGAGGATTTTCGCAGTGTATCAATTAAGCAGGAAAATCATTTCAAAGCAGATCTTTAAATCAATTGTGAAATCTCAAGGCTTTATTTATAAGATAGAATCAAAAATTAATTTTACAGCAACTTCTAGTATAAACTAATGCAAATGACATTTGCTTGCTTGAACAATTTTGCAACAAATTAAATTAATTTATATCAATGAATCAGGAATAGGCATAGATTTTATAGAGTTTGGAGTAACAAAAAATAAGATTTCTACAGATCTAGCAGAGGTACTAACGACAATCAATATCATAGGAACATGAGTTAAAATATGTGAATTATGTATTTACCATCTAAGCAGTTTGAAAAGGAAGATTTATTAGAGTGATAGAATTAAATAAAAAATGGTTACTCTAAACCTATATTAAATAGAATTTTGTTAATTTTAAATTTTTAGTATTTTCAGTACACTTTTGAAGGATAGATTTCCAATTTGAAGATGGATCAAACTGTTCTAAGTGCATATACTAATAATGTGAATATCCTTAAGTATACAACTTTACTTGTTTTCTATTTATCAAGTCCATAATTACTTTATTTTTTCAATAAGTTAAGTCTACATAGGCCAAATGGACAGCTGTCTGAGAAGTTTGCAATTATCAAGTAATGAAATTGAAGAAACAAGAATATACTCATGTGCAACAAGGATAGGAAGATATTGAGTTACTAGTGCACTAAATCCATCTTAGTTAAACACCAAGAGCCTTACCAAAAGTTAGCTTTTATAGCCTTAAAGGATGTTCGCGTCACGACATGCAGAAGAGTGGTCATAAGTAGAGCAATAATATAGTTTTTAAATTGCATCACATTATTTTTAGGTTGATGATCGCAAAGTATTATTAACATGTTTTCCAAGTATCGAAAAATAATAGCACAAATCATATCAGGTATAAACTAAATTTGAAGCACTCGTCATATGAGATTTGAATAAAGATGTGTTTGTTCAGACATATTTGAAGAAATGCACATCACAATTCTTAAAAAATAGCCATCACCAACAAATGCATAAGGATGATAGGCAAATGACCATAGAGAAGCATAACAGTGATTTTTGAAGAGCTAGTTTTAAGTTAGCCTTGTAAGTGACTCTAAGTTCAATTCGGAGGTCAACAGAGTATTGCTTTAGGTTTAATTTCTTACTTTGGCATATTGAATCATCTAATAGTAGAAATAATATGAAGAAGACCTTAGATTAAAAATAAAGTAAGATTAACTTTAGAGGGTTGTATTCTAACCGATGAAACTCAGGCATTCCTTTGGGATACAGAAAAATGAATATCATATATCATAGATATTCATAATAACCTTTTACTACATAATAAGAGCAGGCTCTTCTCCAAAGTCAACACTCATCCATAACTCTTTTTTCCTTCTCTTGATATTACTAACTTTCAATATTTACATTAATTTAATTTTTTAATTGATCCTTTAACATATTTTCTTCCCATTTCCAATTAAATCAACATCTCTTATTTTTTTTGAGAATTTATTCAATTAAATCCTTCAGTACAATCTTCATTATCCAAATCTTTTATGATAATAATCATCAATTTAAAGAAGCAATATAACTTCATATATAGACTATTAAAACTTTGTAGATATATCCAAATAATTTGAATTGGTATCCTTGTTTAATTCTTAGTGAACAGTCTCTAAAATATATATTTTTAATTAGAATTCTGATTTCTAATCTTTTTTTCTGAACTAAAATGAATACTAATTGTATAGGATTGATTCCAGATTTAATTTAATTATTTTCTAAATTAAAATGAAACTTTCACAATGAGTATCAAAATGGTCTGGCATAATAAAAATTAAAATTTAAACATCGGACATATTTTAATTTTAGCACATTTGAGTTTTGAAGTACGTATTAGGTGATGTATTGACATAAAAATTAACGTAACCGCTCACCTTTTAATTCTATATTATTGTTAAAATTTTTGATCCTAAATCTTAATTTTAGTTAATAGATTTATGTGCACAGCAAATTTTACTAAATCTGTTCACGTAATAGCATCGCAACTAAAAATTGATCAATATTATTTTGATTAACTCCTATTGTTTTTGTTAAACTAAATAAACATATGGGTCTATTTACTCATTTTGTCAAACTTTTTTAAAATAAAAAATCAAACTAGTGATTCCAAATCTATAATGAGTTGTGCAGCTTAAGCAAAATGAATCTAATATTATCATCTTGTATTAATTAGGAAAAAAAATTGGCTTTGGTTAAGATTTATACGATGCCTTGAAATTATACCAATCAACATTGATAAATCTTATCCATAAGTTATTTGAATATCATTCATATTAGGTTAATATTAAGATTTACAATAAAAAAATAAAGTATAAATGCAAAAAAAGGAATTTTAAATTCATCAATTCATAAATTGCCATAACTACCCTTTCTAGTAGTTTAGCCATTTATTATATTTTAAACTTAATCCAGATATTCTATATTATTTATAAATTAAAAAAAATTAATTTATATAAGTTATTGGTTGAAATCTGTGAAAGGTATAACGACAAACATGTATTGCAAAAATCAGTTAATTAAAATTAAATTAAATCAAATTTTTAAGTATACAATTTTTGATTGCTCATTGTTCTTATGTAAGTTCATAATTATAGATGTTTGCAGAACTATTTATCAAAATTTGCTAAATTTTCCGCTCTAGGGCTTAATTGCACAAATTAAGGTATGGAGAATTAATTATAGCAATTTAAAATTCTTCAATATTTAAGGTTTTGTGGATTCATATTCTAATTGATTTTCACATGTTATTATATATCAAATAACTATAAAATGATTTTCTTTATATTCAAACTTTTAGTAAACTCTAATAATGATAATTTTGATATGAATGATGTGTCATTGTCGACAGCCTCTCTTGATCATAAGGTAGACACTTATGTTGCAGGAGTGTTTGAATATTTCTATTTGGTTCCAGGCCTTAGCATAGAATGGGCATATCATATTTCTATAATGGATAGCCTGGCTAAACCAAATCCCCTCAGGATTTTGTTTATCTTTAGCAGGATCTTTTTTTTAAGTCTTCTATGGGGTTCTTTAGGGCTTTAAAGTGCCTCACTCTCTCATCCTTGTGTCAAGTTTTCAATAGTGTTCTTCTCCGCGGCTTTTTCAAATTTTAGGTCTTGAATGATATCTTTCCTTATTTGCTCAAATTCAAATGCTCTATCTCTTATTTTATATAATTGATGGAATAAAAAATTATTTTATATTAATAATAATGAATCATCATTAATTTAATTAGAGATAATTTCATAAATTAAATAGTTAAAATTATTCTGGCTAAATACTTAGGGAATTTTTTATCCTAACAACCTTCATTAAATTGTTTTGAATTATTATTATCTCTCTCTCTTTTTTTGATAATTTAGCACAATTCAACTATTTCAAAATATTTACTGAAAAAGAAAAATGTTTGATGATGAATAGAATGTAGTTACATAAGCCTGAATTTCGTTGATCCAGGTGTTTGCAATGTGCAAGTAATCTACCTCAACAACTCAAGCATCTTTGCAATATAAATTTTATCCTTAGTTGTTATATTACAAAGTAATGTTATTAGTTGAATAAGTTTATCTTTTATTGATACATTAAAGTGGAGTTAACTGAAGAGGCTCATAAAGTATATTCATCTGGTTTTGCAAGTTCATACAATATGCTTTGTTAAAATTGTTAAATAAAAATACCTCTCCACAAAATCACTGAATAAATTAAAGCATTGAAAATATAATAAATAATTTTCTCACTTTGTTTAGTCGTAGTAAACAGTCTTTATTAATTAATTTCTTACAGGGCAGTTATCAAACTGCTTCTCTAGCTGCTTGTTGTATTCTGAGGTCCTATTATATTATTTTTGTTATTAAAAATTTAAAATTCTCTGTAATTGTGACAGCTGACAGTAATACAGTTCACTGAATGAATGTATCGATTTAAAAAAGGTTCATGATGTGAGAAAGATCTAAATATGAAATGGTAATTTAAAATTTTGTTTTAAATATTTTATCAAGTGTCTATAGATAACACTTAACTGTATAGCACATATTGTGCTAATATTATTTTGGGGAGCATGCATTTTTTTATTAATGAGTTTGGTGCAGGGTGTAGTAGTCCTCGAAGAATAGGTAATAACAGCTACATCATTATCGTAAAATTTCTCAGCTTGGACACAGTCATGCTGATTCAAATCACAATTTTATCTTCTTATCATGATTTCTACAACTTATATTTATAGAGAGCTATCGATGAGTAATCATCTACAGTGTTGCTGTAAGCAAACATGTACAATCAGTAGTTTTTTAACTTCTTACAAGAAGAATTCCAAGTACTAATGGAATTGCCTTAATTAAATTGTCTATTGTATAAGGATTTGAATTTGTACTGCATTCATTTGCAGAAGCCCTTTCTGTGCATTATCTGGCTACTCATTGTGATAATCAATGTATATTTACAAAATTATGAGGTTAAATTCTGATCAAATGCCTATGTCTATCAAAACAGTTTAACCTTCCCTATCTTTTATTAAGAAATGAGAAAAATATTCAACATTATTTGATATGTAAAAAATGGAACATTTTGTTCTGTTAACATCTGATAGCCATCTTTTTCAATATTCTTTTCAAAGTAATACAATTATCTTCATCAATCTACACAAATATTGATCATAGAATATAACTTACATGATCTTCTGAATTACTTTACATAATTGCAAGATTGATTATATCAATTTTTAAACAGTTATTTGTAAAATCATAAAACAGAATTCGGCTTATCTTCATTCATACACATTAGAATTTACAAAATTAATTAAATGAATATTTATCTAAATAAATCAACTATTCATAGGATTAGCCATATTTTTCAAATTTTTGTTATTGTTATTGAAAGGATCGATGCTATTCGATTTTATAATCATAGGCTAAAAGGCTTATGGTTGCCAATTTTCAGGCTATACAATAGGTTCTAAGTAATCATTTGGAAGAACTGCTAATAGGGTTATTGGTACTAATACTATTGGCTTTGAACTACAACATGTACAACCTATCAATATTCAAATTCTTCTACCTTCAAAATTTGGAAGTATTTTCACAAAGTATGATGAATTCACAAAATTTCCAGTTGTTGAAGGTGTGAGAGCAATTTCTGGCTGTTTAGTATTAACCAATTGTAAAGAACATCCAATTTAAGAAGCAGGTTATATTTTCAATCCTTTTTACAATCCATTGTGAGATAAAGCACTTAATTAAAATTCTAGGTGACATTAGGAACCTGAATTCGATTTGAGGTTTAGTCTATTCACTATAATCACATCGACATTTTCTATATTAAGCTTACAATCTGAATTATCAATATCATATGTTATTTGAATGAATTCTCCTGGAAAATATAAATTTTTCTCTACTTTTGCAGATATTGATGAAGACTACATTAAATGACATTTTTACTCCTTGTTTTTTGCAGCACCATGTAGTGAGATTAGCAGTCTCTTATTTTGAAGAAACTTATAAAATTTCTTTAATTGGTTCTCTAATAATGATCTCTTATTTATTCTTGATATCATTAATTGATTTAGAAGTTGATATTACTCGAGCCTTGACCTTATAATTAAGACTTGCCAGAATGCCATGTCCATACTCAAAAGACCCAGGCAGATTTGGTGGAAGATGTAATTCAAAAGGAAAAACAAATTGTCCAACCATTAAGTTTTCATCTAAAAAAGTATTAATTACAACAGTGTCTCTATGGAATACATTTTTTCCATAATGTGTCCTTCTGTGTTTACCAGATCCAGTTGTCCATCTTGTTTTCTCTTTTCCTACAATTGAAAATTGTACAACATTTCCATGATAACCTGGTTTTATTATATGAAGGTATATATTTCCTATAATGTTGGACAATTTTACCTTTAACAACATCTCCAGCAAAATATAAAGATTTTTCTGTTCTAATCATAATGCCTCCAAATTCTGATCCTGATTTGTTACCCATTAAAAGGCAAATTATTTAATTAATTGCAGTTTCAGAATCAATTACAAAATAACATTAACAAAGTTGAGTTGTAACTAGTTCTTTGTAACTCTTATAACTTCAAAATCTTATAGTGAGAATAGATCTTCTATTATTCCTACTATTTGGCAATAATAGATTTCTATTCATTGTCAAGAATTTATTGTTGTTTTTGGAAAGTAGATTTTAATAGCACACTGTTAATGTGTTTTGAATGAACCACATTAAAATTAACTTAAAATTCTAAAATTTTAACAATATTGTCTTCATTTTGGTTTAAATTCTAATATAAACTTCATAAAGAGTATTTAATTAAAAAATAAATAATATTAAATTTAATGATGAATAGACCAAAAAAAGTTTCTGCAGCCAAAAGAAGATCTAGCAGCTTACATTCAAATCCTGAATAATAATAAGTGCACTAAGAATCCGGAGTTGAAGTAATATTTTATTTAAATTAGAGCAAATCATTGAAATATGCAAGAAGCCGGTTTTATTTAGAAAACCACATGAAACAAGATTATTGATAAACTCTTTTAGAAATATCAAATTTTTCAAGGAATAATTTAATGAGCATTATGAAGGGATGCTGGAGGATGTGGCAGAAAATGCAAAATTGCATGTTTATAGCAAGAATGAGACAATTATTAAGTAGGATACATACGGAGATACTTTTTATATAATAATAAAAGGATAAGTGAAGGTTGTGAAAAGAGTAGTAACTAATATTGGATCATATATTACTAAAAAAGGAAAAAAAAGAGATAAATATCATGAATAGATAAAAGAAATTATGACATTAAACGATGGAGACTATTTTGGTGAATTAGCCTTATTAGTAAATAAATATCTAATAAAAGGAAAGAAAACCAAGAGGAGCAGATGTTATCTCAGTCACAGATTCATTCATTTTAGGGTTAGACAAGGATTCTTTTGATAGAATAATGGCTACCAAGACAAAGAGATAATTTTTGCATCTCCTAGATACTTTAAGCTGCAATTCTATTTTAAAAGAAATATCTAAGAACACCGTCAAAGCATTATTTATGATTATGGAGAGAAAAGTTTATAATTATGGAGACATTATTTATAAATATGGAGAAAAAGGAAGCAGCTTATATTTCATAATAGAAGGGGAGTTTAAAATGCTTTCAAATATTTATAAAAAAGAAGAAAAGGATGATAGCCATGAGATTAATTGTTTGGAGAGAGAATCAGAGATCTGTATTTTAGGAAAAAATGAAAGTATTGGGCTTGAAGAATTTCTGGATGAAGAGCGGAGATAATGGAAGGCTATCTGTTCAAGTTAAGTTGGAATAGTATATAAGTTAAATAGAATCGATTACAAAAGAATTGAGCAGCGATATCCAGATATTGTTGATGCTATCCAAAAGATTCGAGATGAAAAAAAAAAATATTATAATACTTGGAAAGAAAAGCATGCTAATCCTTTAGAAGCTGGATAATAAAAACAGTTTTAAGGTGATGATAATTAAAAATTTGATTACCAAAAATATGTTGAAAGAGCAAAACAATTAAAATAGATTATAATGAATGATAAGGAGATGCAGTTTATATCCAGAGATTAAGTTACAATTAACGATGATATGGATATAATGCTGAGATATTGTCCTTATTTTTAATTAGGGGTATTATTTTCATAGTATGTAGGAAAAAAAAGCTACCCCCTTTTTGGTAAACACAATCGAAACCATTTAATAAAGAAGAGTTAAAAGCGCAAATTATAGGCCATTATCTTCCGTCAATTAGGCTAGTTAAGGAGCCATCTAGTAGCATAATAGACCAAGCACGGGCAGAATATTAACTCAACAAAAGGAAGACATAACTAAGGCCAATGCGGCTGAATCTTAACCAACAATCACAATTAATCAATATTTAACTACCTAGCCAGAAGACAATAAATAAAAATCACTTCATAATTCGAAAGGATTTATGGTTACTTCTACTCCAACCTAAGAATAAGAATCGAAAAAAATTACAATTAAAAAAAAAGCAAGAAATTATAATGATGTCATCCAGAATAAGATAATTTTTTTTATGAAACTTACTCCATAAAAAATTGAGTAAATGGCGATTCAGCAAAGAATTGACAAAGAAGAATTTAAGGATAAGAAATTATATATTACAAATTACCCTTCAAGAACGACAGGCTAAATGTTAACAAGAATAAAATCAGCAGTCAAACTATAACCTTAGAATAACTCAAGTTATCGTTCGTAGTAAGGTTAGATTAGGAGGGGAATAGCAAGTAGTGTAAATTTATTGAGTTCTGTTGAATCAATTCAAGGTGGAGAATGTTCACGGATACATTCAACTAAAAACTCAACTGGAATCAATCTTGATAGTTCAGCGCTTCCTTTAAAATATTAAGCGGACATGATAGGGCGATAGTTTTTGTAAAGAAATAAACAAGCAACACCATCATCAGCATTTAAGGGGTTTACTCGATAAAAATTTAAGCAATTATCTACAGAGTATTGAGAATCTATCTTAAATTAAAAATAATCTCATTAATGTTGTATCAATTCTGGCATTTCATCTATGAATAATTTTAATGCGTGCATTCCATCAGGAGTCCATTTATCACCAGATGCTAGAATATCTTTGACTTATTTCAAATCAATGTATTCTACCTCCTCTATTTATGGAGTTAACTAATTAGCCTCTCCATCAAAATACATATAAAACATTTTCCCCCAGATTTTACTAATTTGATCCTCATAATAAAATTCATTATTTGGAATAATATTCACATTTTACACTCCAATTTCTTCATGGATTTCTTTTGTTGCATTTGACTCATATGTTTCATTAATTGCAACCACACCTCCAAAACAGGTATCAAAATACCCCGGGCAATATCTTTTTTCCTATGATCTTTTATGAACAAATAATTTATTAGTGCTTGTTTGAATAACAAAAATATAAGTGGCTCTGTGAATTAGTTTCTGTTATCTCATCTCTTTTCTCGGAGACTAACCAATAATTTCATTTTTCTCATTCACTATTATGACAATTTCCTTATCTTCTGTATTTTATTCCTTATCTGGTTAAGAAATCATAATAATTAATTTTAAATATTGTTTATAATAATGAGTCAGGATCAGGATGAATTGTTTAGTGCAAAAAGTGAAATATTGTTCAATGTAAAACAATGTGAAGAATTATTCTAAAAAGATAAATCAGAAAAGTAATGAATGTCTATTTTCAGATTAAAATAAGACATTGAGACGTTTAAGAAAAATATTAAGACGGCTAAAGAAAAGGAGGAAGAATTCTATAAAACATTATTATTAGAAGGCAAGGAAAAGGAGAGCATCTTTGGATTTCCAGGTTATTAAAAGAAGGAAGAACCAAAAGTGATTGTCTGGGATCCTCTTTAGGGAAATTTGATCATTACTGAACATGAATTCAAAATTAAATATGACTAACCTAAACAAAGAAATTCAAACAGATAAAGTTAAATACCATTACAACCTGAGATTAATCTAAACGATTGAATATTTTAATAATAAATTATACACATCAACTTTACTTAAGTTTATTTAATCTTCTCTCTCTTTTCCATATTGAGATTAATGTGATAATGAATAATGTGAATATTCCTATCCATATAATTATGATGTAAGTAGGGAATTTTTCTACAAAAATTCCTTAATAATTTCTAAAGAAAAGGACCCATTCTCCTAAAACTATAGCATGCATCAACCAAGCATTAGGACCTAGTCTTGTTACATTCCTGGAGATATTAATATTATTTACTCATCTGAAATATAGACATAATAATCTCTAGCGGCAACAATAGAGAAGAAACCCAAAGGAAATACTCTGAATTTCATAACATTATGTGCTGTATTGATTTAAAGGACAAATTTATTAAAAAAGAAACTTAAGTCGCAGAGGTTCATAAAAACTAAAAACCAAATAACTAATAAAAATCTCTTAACAGAAGAAAACACCTTCCATTCAATTTTATCTAACTAGGGACTTAAACATAATCTCTTAAAGTTCTTAAACCAAGAATCTTTTCTATTTTCTTTTCTTAATGACCATTTATATTCCTTCATTCCAAATAATTTCATTGTGTAATAACCAACCACAATTCCTCCAGTATTACAAACAATGATGTCTAAAATGACATGATCCCACCAGCATTCCCAAAAATTAGGTAGCCAATGTCTAAATGTAATTTCCATAAATTCAAAAGCAATCTATTGGAACATAGCAAGTTTAAAGTCTCTTAAGATCCACATTTTAACAGTCCACCCAAAAATGTGAGCTGGAACAAAAACATCAAATGAGCTTGTCAGATTATAAAATTTTGAATGTTCATTTTCTGGAGTATAAAATCTACAATCTTCTGCGTAGCTTTTGGAAGGAAGTGGTCTTCCTAACTTTGGATCAACAAACTGCTATAAAAATTGCTATAGTTATTCAGGAGTCTAGAAAATAAGAACAAAAATTATACAAAATAAATGAGGAAAACAATGCTCATCATATAAACACAAGCCCAACTTTATAATAATCTCCAAAATAATGGATGTGGTCTTTGAATAAGGGTATTTGGAAAATAGCTGCCTCCATAAGCACAAAAAGCCAAGAAACTGAAGATATATCCTATATATGCACTTTCTTGGAGTGTTGAACTTTGAAACCAATAACTTGTAATATAAAGTGTAACAAGCATAAAAATTAACAAAGATATCGTTCTAGATCTATAAAATATGCTCCAGCCTTCAGATTCATGGAAAAATGTTGATTAAATGTTTGGAGGAATGTATTCTCTTTACAGCACCTCGCATTGTATTCCTAAATTCAATATTTTAAAGGGTATACCTATATCTATTTTTTTGGGTGATATTTCCATAAATAAAAATAATTTAATATAGATGTTAAATCAAAGTGATATAAATAACGTAGAGAATGTAATTTAATAAGTGATTGATTCTCTTTCAATTTGTAGATAAAGGATAGAAGAGTTACACATTGAAAAAGAGTCACATGATAAAATGAAGGAAAATATGGACCTAATTAAATCTAGTTAACAAGATTTTCATCATATCATAAATGAATATTTTAAAGCAGTAGGAGAGAATTTTAGAAATTTATAAAGTAGATACCCTAATTCGGAAGTTAAAAGTATTTATAATAATAATATTAGAGGAAGTGATAACGAGATTAGATGAATAAATACAAAATTTAGATAATCAAGCATAAAAATTAGCAGAAAACTAATTTACTTAAAAGGACTATGAATATTTTAAACAATAAAATTATGTCAAATTCATGTATAATTTCGAAAATATTTTTAGAGATGATTCCTCCAAAGAAATAGATGAACTAGCAACTTATTCATAAAAAACTAGCAAATAAGATCAAGACTTATTACCCTAGGTCAAAGTTAATCATAGAGTAGTAGAAGGCTTATATTTAACATTAAATGATTATGCTTCAGTATAATGGAGTGGCGATATACCAGTAGAAAATTGTCACAAACCAATCATTGAAGCATAAGGAGGAATTGCCTTGAATCATTTAATTATTTTAGATGAACGCCATCTTTAATATGGACTTTACGATATAGTCAATAATCAGTATGAAGTCCATTAATATAATTCAAAAGTAAATATTAATTATTCGCCAACCGTTATTCAAGGAGAATCCAACTAAACTTATTTAATAGGAGGAGTTACTCAATAAGGATTAATAAGTGCTTCATTTAATTAATTGGATGTAAACTCGGGTCAAATTACTTGTTTGCCAGAAATGAATGTTAAGAGAGTTGGTTGTAGCAGTATTATAATTAGAGAAGGGGATTGCTAATATCTTTATGTGATTGGTGGAAAATCATGTAACAAGGTAAAAACTAAATTGTGTGAAAGATTCAATTTCACAACTTAAAAATGGGAATTCATTACAAAAATGAATCATGCAAGGTCCAATTCAGCTATAGCAAAACATGATGATTATATTTATGTTTTTTTTGGAATAGATTCAGAAAATTAGAATACAAATGTTATTGAAAGATACAATTATGCAAACACAAAAACTTGGGAAATCATAAGCATATAAAATTCCTTACCAGGATTTGACAGCTCAAATTGTTCAGCAATTTCAATCAACTAAAGTTAAATCTTATTATTAGGAGGAATTAGATATAGCATCATTTTTAATGATTAAATGTATTTTAATCGGAAACTGCTTACATTAAACACCACTAACAGCACATTTTCTGTTTTGGATAATCAATTGCCAATTGATTTCATTCCTTATTCTCATATGGTTATATACAACAATGAGATTTATGCTATTGGATACACAATGAAGCAAGTGGAGGTTAAGCCAACTCTTTTTTTAGATGGAGGCTTTGTATTAAAGATTAGTAAAGATTATGTAAAAATTCTAAAATTCATTCCAGCTTATTAAGAGAAATAAAATTGAAATAAAATAATAAAATTTATTATTATTAAGAATTAAATGTATTATTGTTAATTTAAAATCTGAATGCCAAATTTTCCAATGTCCAAAATACAATTAGAAATATTGCATTAAACTATGGTTTTAAGACCTGGGATCTAAGGACGAGGACTAATGTTGAAAACAGGTAACTTATTCTGAATTATATCATGAGATAAATTAAAATGATTTAATTGTGAAAGGTTAGAAGAAGAATATAGCAAAAATAACAATAATAAAAAATATTTAATAAAGCAATAATGCGCTTCAAACTAATAGATCTAAAAATTATCAATTTGTTAATTAGAATTAATTTTTCTAGAAAAATTTGAGAAGCCTAAGAACTTTGACAAGTTGTAATTGATAAAAGCACAAAGAACATATTCGCTTAAGCCATTTCTAGAGAAAGGGGTTAATTGCTGGGAAAATAAATCAAAGTTATTTTCCCTGTTGTAGAAATAGACTTAAGTAGTCCAAAGGAATGGCATAATTGATGGAGCTTATCAATATTGATATGTTTATTAATTTTATAGATATGAATAATTTGAATTAACTAGGAGAGCAGATATAAACTAATAATCAATTTTCATTTTTATTTTTTAAATTATAGCTTCATTATATTAAGAATATCAATTAATATAGATTTTTGCAGGCTTGAGAAAAAATTAAATTGTGTTGATAAATTTAAGTATCTATTTATGTGTAGACCTAAAATATCTTTGAATGTTTCTGTTATTATACAAAAAATGATTATTTATTATTTTTGTACAATTTGATTATAAAGTGACAAACCAAAATGATTAAAAGATATAATTATTTTATGATTTAAAGATTGAGTTATGCGGATATTCGATCTCCCCCTATAAATTAAAACAATTTTAAATTGGCAGTTAAACCTTTAAGGCCTTCTAAATTTTTAAATGACTTTGACAGTGCTCCAAAAAATTTTATAAAAGAAAAGGAAGTTTAAGAAATTTTTGACTATGCATTCCCAAAAAGCTCAAGAAGAAGGGTTGCTTTAGGAAATGATAAAGTTTAACAAAAATTCTAATTAGCACTACCTACTGTTTAAAATTTATCGATCCATAGCATGAATCAACTTTCTCAGAGAGATGTTATTGCTGATTTGAAGAAGTCTGAAGTTTTACAATCTGACAAACAAATTGAAAACGAATTAGAAAGCATTAATAGAAAAATCAAAAAGATAATCAATAGCAACAAAAGATAAGTAACATTTAAATCATCTTTAATTGTGATTGATGATTAAAATAACATTGCTCAAGTGAAGGACCCCTATATCTCAAAGGAGGGTTAACTTAGAAGAAAAACGATTGTAAGACATAAGACATTAGAAGTGTGATAAATTACTTAAGAAATTTCTTCATATAATGTTGATTATTACAACATATTTATAATTAAAATTTAAACAACCTAAGAAAAATAATTTCATAATATCATTTTTGAGAACTTAAGTCCTCAATTTATTTCTTAGCAAAGATAAGTCCATTCTTCTCTAAAAATCTCTAAATTTATTTAATATGATTTAGGAATTATGGTTCTTTACCATTTTAAGCTTGTTCAATCTAAAATTAGTACAAAATTTTACAAATTATAAAATTGGTTTTATGATTATTTCTGGTCCTTCTTTATCAAATTATAGTAGTTTGGCTTTGATTAATGCTTTTAATAATAAATGATCTTAGAAGTATGCATCATCTATCCTATTCCTAAACTTCTCAAAATTTTCATAAACCACCTTTAATAAACTCTATTGATCTTTGATATCAGCAGGTAACTCAATAATTACTTAGGCTGTTAAATGGAGTAGCTATTCCAAATTTATTTTTTCAGAACTATTTTCAATAAGAATTAAAGCTTAATGCAAATGCTCAGACAATGCTTTACTATATCCTTGTTTAAAAGTGTATTCTAGAGATAAATACAATACTTCAGATATAATATATGGATCTGTGACTCTGAAGTTTTTCATTGATTCAAAAAGCTTTTCATATTCTGCCTCATCTACTTCTTTTTAGGAAAGAATGACGAATTTATACATTTAGACTAATAATAAGAATTCAGATTCTCCATATTATGAAATCTCATCATACAATTGTGAGATTAATTAACAGGACTTCTCATAATTTTCTCTCAAGTATGATCTTGCAATTCTGCATTAACATAAGATGGATTTTGGTGTAATGCCACTGGCAAAGGTTTCATATATCTAAGATGAAATGAAGTATTACTTCAAGAGATTTTTCTAAAAATGATCTTGCTTCTTCTTCTTGTCCTGAAATTAATAAGAATTCAGCCAAAATTTCAAAATTTCTGGCAATTTTACTCATAGCTTATTGTTTGCCAACTTAATATTTTATCTACTCTACATTCTCCTTATGTTTGATTATGTCGTTCACAATTTTAACTGCTTAATCTAAACACTTAGTAGATTCCTCCAAAAATTGAACATACCCCTCAGGATTTAATGTTTTCTAATAAAAAGCCTTCATGTCAAAATATTATGATTGTCTTAAGAGATTGTTAAACTCAGCTTCTCCTAAATCACTTATTTTCGATTCAAAGTTATATATGTTTTCTAAAATACCTTTGATACGCCTAAGTTATATATTTCATTTTACTCTAAAACTTATTCTAATTGTAATATTTCTCTTCTGTTTAATCTATATTAGTATTCCAATAATGACAATTCCATTGAGATATTTAATATTAATTAAATCTTTTATGGATATTGCTTTGGTATGTATAATCTTTCAATAAAGTTTTTATCAAACATTTCTTCGAAAAATTCCCAATTCTTATCTTAAAGTTCACTTCCAATCAAATTTTCAGCAAGATGTATTTTCTACAATACTTTCTAAATGGAAACAGAGTTTTATTTAGGTTATGAGAGCTTGCTATCCCAATATTCAACTAACTTGTCAAATTCCTAATTTTTTAGGATCAATTAATATGTTCTATTTTAAGTGTTTAAATTTACTCTTTTTCTTATTTATTAGATTTAGAAAAGGAAAAGTAGTAGAAGGGTTGGAATCGCTTTTGGATTAAAGCTAAAGGACGAAACAAATTTCTTATCATAAATATTTTTTCTAAAAATTCTAGAAATATGCTTTTTATATTTTAATTAAGGCATTTATTTATTTCTGTTACAATCCAATTCTTTAGACCTTTCTAGAAAGATCATAAATATAGCTATTATATTATTATAGAGAGTGAAAGAAACCTATTAAATTGAATAATCCAAACCTTATAAATTGATGAAATCACTTTAATATATTTATATTGAGAATCATACTTATTCTATAATTGACTTCAATATTTTTGTCCTTAATGATTTAATATAATTGTTAAAAACACTTTGATAAGATTGTAAAAATTATCTTAAATTGATTTTTGAACCATCCTATGAAGTACCATTAATTATATCTTGATATTTATTAATCAACTTTTAATTCTTAAGGAAATCTGATAATATAATCACAAAATAGTAAAACCTAATAATGTTTATTTAAGTAGACTATTCTATCTTATAGAAATAATGAACTTCACAATTTATCAAATTATTTTTCATGAGTTTAGGCTAAGAACATTATTAACCCTTAATAAATATACTGTTAATTTTCAATTCTTCTAATTTAGTAAATTACTTGATGAAGAATTAAAATAACAATTAAGAACTGAAGGATAAATTTTTTAAACTAATGTCATTCCTTATGAAAACTAGTATAATATTCATATTTTTGTTGTTTAAATAAAAGACTTGATTCATAGGCTAAAAATTATTTTAATTATATGTAATAATATTAGTAATTTCTTTCTGAATTATCTTAAAAATCTAAAATATATGCTTTTTCTAAATCCATTATCAAATTAGTAGATTACAACAATCTACATAAATTCAGCATCTTCATATATTTTTGATTTTTCTAATTAGATTCAAAATTATTTTCTTAAATTCATGTTTTTTCTATAATTTAATTATTTCATTTTCGTTTTTGAAAATGTCCAAGTAATATCTAAAGGAGCATAACTAAAATAATTTAAAAATTTGAGGCCATTAGGATATAAAATCTGCGATTACAATTGATTAAACTCAAAATTTTTGGCAAAATAGTTATTAAATAAAAATGAGATAACAAAACAACTCATTAAATTTAAATGAAATATGTACTTTCAGAATAAACAAAAAATTACAATTTCTGAAAAGTATCTAGTTATTTTGAATCTTTTCTCTAAGCAATAAAGCCTTGCGATTTACTTCTATAATTTTTTTTATTCTTCATTAGCAACCACGCTAATGTAAAATAATTCTATTTTCTATATCTTATGTATCGTTTTGAATTTTTCTCATAAAGAATGAAAGATAAAATTTAATACAAAAAGGGGTTTTCATATGAATTATTAATATTTAATTAAATCCTTAAACCAAACATAAATTGAGAATTATTTAACTTTAAAAACCTTATATTAATCTAAATATATCATTAAAAGTTATTTTCTTGGAATTAATTCTACTCTTTATTACGTAGGATGTGATTGCGTCAAAGTAATTTATTCAAAATTAGGATTTTAAGGAATAAAAAATTAATCAAATCTTATATTATTTTAATAGCAAAATATGGGAAATAAACACAGCACTGAATTTGGTGGTATTTTCATTTAAACTTCAAAGGCATATTATTTTCCTGGAGAAATCATTCAAGGTATAAAATATTATCTATTCGAAATTAGGAACCATCAGTTTAAACATCACCAAACCTGGTTACCCTGGAAGAAGACTTTACATAAGCCTTACTGGGAAAGAAATATTACATGGTGCCTTTGATATCAATGAAAATAGTGATGATGAAGGTGTATTATCAACGAATACAACTACAAAAATAATAAAGAGTGAAATTGTGCTTTATGAGTTCCAATAACCAACTATTCCTATGGGTTAATTCACAACTACATTTACCTTCTAACTGCCTTCCAACATTCCTGGGACCTATAATAAAATACATTTGAGTGGTGCGTTTGAGAGAATCATATATAAAGTGAAAGGGTATGTCGTGCCAACTAAGGGATACAAAACAATGAGTCACATTTAATAGATTTAAGTTAGAGAACCTATTTACTTTCCTGAATAACAGATAATTGGAGATGGAAAAGTTGGAGATAATGGATATTGCTGTAGATAAAAAGGGGTATTAAAATTTATTAATATATATAGAGCGCTTAAATTACTGCCGTGACAGATAGGAATGTTTATAGGATAGGTGAAGCCATAAGAATATTAATAGAGGTCATCGATGAGGAGAGATATTAGAAACCAGAAAAAATAATTATACAATTGGAAAACATAACATAATACAAATATAAAGACAACATAGAAACAAGGCTCAAAATCATTGCTGAAGAGTAAATCTCAACCACAACAAAGAAATTAGGATCCTATAAGGTACTAAATCAGCAAGAAGTGGTGCTATTTGCTTAATTAAAAAATCATAATAACAACGATTAATACAATATGATTTAACCATCGACAAATGGAGATATAATCAAATCACAATATCAAATTGTGATAAGAGCTAGTTTTGGAAGTAAATTTATTTTATATATTTAATTTCAGTAAGCTGTTGCAATCAAAGTGAATGCCTTGAATTGCCTATCTAAATATTGTCATCTACAGTATTGCAATAGCAGTCAATATAACCTCCTTTAGGATGGAACCCAATCCAACTTAATGATGAGAATCTTCAACTCTTAGCAAGTGCAAAACAAAGTGGAACTAGTTTACATTCGTTTTCTACATATTAGAAAACTTTGTAAGGTAGAAACAGCTATAATGAATAATAAGAATCCTAAAGATCAATCAGAGTTGGAAATTCAGTTCGATCGATCTAATCTTTAAATTATTAAATGAACTGAGTAATTTTATATTTTATTAATCATTATGATATCAAAATAGACTTAAAACTCTAATATATAAGACTAATGAAATAAAAGAACTATTACTTGTTTACAATTCAATAGAGACATACACGTCTCAATAAACATTCATATAGTAATAAAATTTTAGTTTAATATTGTAAAAAATTAGTATTCACTGAGTGTAATTATTTAATGATGTCAAAGTTTATAACTTACAATATTTATTCTTTTTAATTAATATTAATGTTAACCTTACATCAGAAAAGTCTCACCGAATCCAAAATCAAAAACGACAATACTTCTTTCTAAATAAACTAAAATCTTCGCTCATTTAATCCTTCACAATTTCTAAACAATCTTGATTAAGTTAGTAATATCAAAACTCCTTAATATAATGAAAATACTCAACAAATACAAACCCTAACAGAAAAAGCAGAGAGTAATTATTGTAGATTTCCTAAACTTCAATCTAATTCATTATTAAACATTTCTAAACCTATTGACTCTATGCCTTAATCTAAACATCATCAACTTAAATCTCAACTATCGACTATATTTTCTTAACAAAACCAAATTAATGACAATCATATTATTTTGCCAGGGTTACGAAAACAAAGAAAAGAATCTTAAATGTTTATTTAAATGATTGAACAGCAGGTCAGTTTTCCAATTTAAGAAACTTAAACTTCAAGATAAAAAAGATTTTAAAGAAAAAGAGATCACTAAACATAAAGTTAAACAAATCTAGATAGTCTAAATTCCTTATATCCTGATAATTCTTAATTAGATGACTCAAACTATAATAACAAAAGAGTTGAGTTCCATAAAAAAGTTAGAGTCATAAATCTAGAAAATGGAAAAATCGCAACTGAAGTCATAAAAGAAGAAGATGAATCAAAATCTCCAAGATAATACAAAAGAAAATTTGTATCTTAAAAGACAAAGTATTTCTATGAAGATGTCAATTCATGAAGATCAAAACATAATTTATAATCTTAAATAATATATACAATCTAACAACAATATTTACCAAGTTGATTGATATTTCCTCAATTAAAATCTAATATTTGTCGAAGTAGGTTTTACTTTCAGATTGTTAAATTTTCTCTGAACAATATTCTAATTTATCCTATTATTATATAAGTAGAGTCCTTATATATATAAATTCCCTTGAATAACAATTAAGAATTTCTTATATTTATTTAATTATTATTATGACAAATACTGAATTGGTTAGCACTTTTTATTATAGAATTTAATATCTATATGAAGGGTGTATTTAAATCTCTCATTCAATATTATAATGTTTAGGAAGTTTTAAATAACTGAGTGACTGTATAAAGAAAGTTTATATTCCTTCTTATCAAAATCTATTTAATTCTTTGGTATTCTTATTTCCTAATCAAACCAATTTAGTAAATCAGTATATTTTATACCATTAATTATTATAAATGTTTGAATATTATGCAATAGGAGATGAATAAAATAAAATTCAAGATATTCACAAATATCTTTTAACAATTTGCAATAAAAAAATGGTTGATAAGTTAGTGAATACATAATCTAAACAGTAAAGAGTTAGCACTTCCATAGAGTAAAAAACTCTGCCTACCTTTAATTATCGCCCTAAGGAGAAATGTAAAGTTAGTTTTTACACTAGATCCTACCTTAATTGGAGCCCAATATAAATATTTCAAGGCACAACCAAAAAGAAAAAAAATTTATTTAAGTACCCTTCAAAATGATTAATCGGAATCAACTCCAAGATTAAAAGCTAACTCAATAATCCAGGAGTAAAAAATCGAAAATTAAATGAATTCAGCAAGGGCCATATATACTGCATAATACCCAATAGACAGAAACATCTCTATTCAAAAAGCATAAACATCTAAAAACTACCACTTACCTAAATGTGATAGTAATTGGATTATGAATCTCAAAAGTATTAGATAAAGATAAGAATAATTATGAAAATATATATACTATAAACATTTCACCCTTACTTTTTTGTCATTGCTTTTAAATCTATTTTTATGTTTATTGGTTGTGGTTATGGGTTTTTTGATTTGAAAGTATTTAAATTAAGGTCTGATTCAGAGCCAGTAGTGTGATTTAAAGTGCTCACTTTTTTAGGATCTCTAGGAGATTTCAATATCTGTTGTGAAGAGAAAGGAACTTATGGCTCTCTTGTGTTAGGTGATTTTTGCTTTTGAGAATTTGTAGGCAATTTGATGTTTGAGTTGATTTTTACTGAAATGTATTTGATTTGTTCTGGTGGTTTTTGGTATTCTTTCTCCTTAGGTATGAGTTTATTAACCTAGTATTATTTTGGATGTTCGTTTTTATAATTCAAATTAGTAGAGCTATTAGATTAATATTTATCGCCACAATGTTATTATAATTGTTATGAATTGCCTTATGTTGAAATGGCCTAAAATGAATTTTCATAACAAATACTTTTTAATTGCGCTACTTTTCAATTAATTTTTAATAATTAGTGGTATATTCTTCAGAAACATCTAAATTTTTATATGAAGGACCAATATTCTTTTCTATTTTATTTTTAAGATTTCTAAGTTCAGAATTTATTTGGTAAACTAATTCTTGTTCCTATTGATCGTCTTCTATTTTATTGCGATTTATAAGAGATAGAGGTGATTCTTAATAATTTGATTACTTTTATGCATAATAGGGTTTACAAATTTCCTATCCACTATCGCTATCAGAAGGGAAATGGTTTTTTTGTATTTGATTTTTCTGATTCTCTTGAATTCTAGAAGTAATAGGACTGTATGAATCATTTTTATCTTCAAAATCTGTGAAGTCCTCTTCTTCAGATGATTCTTAGAACAATTTCTATGCCTGATTATATAATCTTCCTCTATTAATAGAAGGTTGAATTGTTGAATTAGCAGTACCAAAACTATCCAAAATTAGCATGTTTTCCTATTATTATAGGTTCAATTATTTGTATAACTCGTTTAGGTTGACCTCCTCTATTGTAGTGTTTGTGGGATTAGAATTTTATTTGAATCGAAAGTCATTGCTCACTCTTTCAAACTCATGTTGAAAAGTTAAAATTTTGTTCTCTTTTTGTAATGTAATTCTTGAGTAGTTATGATTTAAAGATGAATTAAGTGTGAGTTTGCAATTTGAAAAGAAATAGCCATTGATAATCAAAGATTGATGAATCATAAAATGCCAATGACTAAAGTTGATGGCATTGTTCAGGAACTCTTGATTGATGCCTTCGCTAAAGGAGCACTGCTTATCTTGATAAAAGCGAATCACTGAAAATGATTTGTCTGAATTATATGGGCCTAATTATGACTAGCCCATTTAATTTATAATAATAATAATTGGAATATTGAACTAATTATTTGCATAAGTAAATAATAAATATGGCTTTTGTATTTGATCATCTGCAAGATTATATAATCTATTTAACTTAGATAATGAGTAGAAATTAATTAAATAATACGATTCTTAAAGGGTTGATTAAAATGTGTAATTCTTCGGTTAGTAAAAATAATAGTATGTCAGAAACTGAAACATATATATTAAGAAAAGAAATAAATTACAACCTGAAATTGAAGATTTATTAAATAAATATATAAAATGTATCAAGAAAGTGAGTAAGAACAAATCAAAAGTTAGTGGGTAAGACAGATACTTATGTCCAATGACTCCAAAATTGTTGCAATTAAATATTAAGAACAATGGCTTCTCTATAATTTAATAGAAAAAAAGTCGAAAATATTATTATTCCAAAGGAGTGGACCAGGAATGTTTTCTCCAGACTCTTTGTATTTTATCGCTGTAGGAGTAAACTTTTCAGAATAATAAGAAACAGTATTATAAATGAAGCTAATGCCTCATTTCGAGAATCCTGTTCAATTGTTGACTCTTGAAAACTAAGTCAAATGTCTTGATATAAATGAGCAATCAAATAAGTTGTTATTAAATCTAATGAATGGTTCTTTTGTTATTTGGGATATTAATACGAAACAGAAAGTTCTGCAATTAAATTAGAGTACACGATTTGATTTTACTTAATTTTGCAACAATCGAATTATCGGAACTCAACCTCATTGTATTTCTTATTTTGATTAAACCCGATTGAAGCAAATTAAAAAAACCTTTGTTTCAGGAAGATTATCTGAATATTAGAAATATTCTCATTACTGCGACGTTAAACAAATAACCTCTTGTTTAATACTTTTTCGACAGAGTAGAGGAATGGAAAAATTTTGTTATAGAATTATCAATAATTCAAACGGAAAAATGATTAGAATATTTAGAGACTGCTAGCGATTTGAGAATCTAAACATAAATGTTTCTCCAGATCATAAACGATTTGCAAGATTATCAAAAATTTAAAATACTTAGATCGAGCTTTTAGAAATAGATTCAGGTAAATCGTATAATTTTATAAATTGCTTGGATACTAAATAACCAATTTGTTTTAGTTGTGATTGGACTATCATAATCTAATCCACTAAGCATGGTTATGCAAAAGTTTATAGAAAGATTGAATGAATGTTTAATTTTATTTATATATCCTAATAAGATTATTAATCATAAATATTTTCACTATTTTCAGGATTTATAATCCGTACTAGAGCTTCAAATAATCTTATGCATATTTATCTACTGACTAATAGACATATAGAAAATAAAGTAAAATTGATCATTAGAGATTAGGAAATGAAAACTAAAAGAAATCTAAATTGGAATTGACCCTGTTTTTGATCATTGATTCTCATTTTGAGAGTATATATTGAAGAGTTATTAATATTTCTATTAGAATATGCGAATATAATTTAGAGAATATATTTGGGAAATCACAAATAACCACAACTTGTAAACAACAACTATTTAATTGGTATATGAGTAAATCAATTTATGATTATTCAAATATGACTTATTATCAGTTGATCATTTTAACAATAAATTTGAATATATATAAATGAAAGTTTAATTCTAAACTGATTATGACTCTCGTGTGACTCATAACCCATCTAAAAAGAGAGAATTTCAATATAACACTAAATAGCCAGAAATTATTACACTTCAAAATTATGAATCAAATTGCAACAGAATTGAATCGATGCCTGGACATATGAGATCAAAATCTTATGAACATGATTGTTTAACAAAAGCATCCAATACCTTTGGACTTAATGTGGATTAACCTTCAGTTTAACCTCTCAAAACTAAGCGTTAACACAGCATTTCATAAAAAGAAAATGATCCTGGATTTATTTCTCCAAAATTTAGATTTGAAAGTTGTGACACTCTTGTTACAAGGAAATCATAAAAGTAACTTATTCAAATACAGATTTTAGTAGTTTTATTAATGAACTTTAAGAATGCGTAGACCTTTCGAAAGTGACCGAACTATCAATGCAATCTTAAATTTCACCATAGAAAGCATATACTGATCTCTAGTAAAAAATTGAGGCCAAAGATTACTTAATCGATGAATTGTAAAAATAATTAACAACTTCAATCAAAAATATGACCTAATAAGTAGATCTAATAAGAAATGAAAAAAATCAGGTGATTTAATAATAAATTAGACAAATAGAAATTTATGAATAATAACTAATTGAGAGTAGATAAGAGGTATAATTAAAGAATACTGAATTGTTAAGTTTAAAGAAGAATAATAGGGAATTAAAGAAATTATTAGATTCAAAATAAGAAATATTCATGTTAAATTGTAACAATACTTTATTTAAAGTTAGCAATCCCATCCAATTTTTAAACAAAAAAGGAGTGCATGTGCCCTCAATTAGAAAGAGAAAATAAAGCTTTACTTGCCAAAGTTGAATAATTCCGACATTAATTATAGGATATAAAACAAAACCTTGAGTTTAACAATTTGTCAATTAATAACCAAATCTCTGTTATTGAGAAGTGCGATTTTACATAATTTGAAAAAACCTTTAAATAGTTGGCAGATGAACTTAATTTAACAATCGATAGCAAAAATATTAACTCTAGTTTTAGTATATTGAATCAAGAAGTTATTGAAGGTGTGAAGACCCTTAAATAATAATATAAAGAGAATGAAAAATTCTTGAGATGTCTCAAAGATCTTGTAATTTAATGTGCGCCTTAAGATTATTTCTTCCAGACAGATCCAAGTTTAAAAGAAGTATGGAAGTTTATTAAACAAATTTTGTAATCTTACCTTGAAAATAAAAAATTAGCTTCTTAAAATGAAGTATTTTGTATGATTATAAATTAGGATATCGTCATCAATTTGTGCAAGTACTTTAGATGTAATAAATCTGAATTAAATCATAAGGGGGCTTGTTTAATAGTAGATTAGGAGGTCTATTAAAGAATAGTTGAAAAAATTAAGCGAATCTTTAAATTAACTTCATTAACCAATATAAGAGAACTTGATCGACGGCTAGATTATTATTTATAGTGACTAAATTCGGAATAAATAATTTTGAAGCTTATTGCTTTATCTTATTATGATATTTACATTTTAATTTTTTCATCATCAATAGCAATTAATTTAAAATAAAAAATTCAGAAATTATTAGTTATTTGGTGATTATAATCTAGTTTTTAATAGATTTTAGTGATAATATGATTAAAGAAATCAAAATTACATTTTTAGGCAATTCTGGGGTTGGAAAGAGTAGCATAGTAAAGCGTTATTGCTTTGATTAATTTGATTAAAATAATCAATCAAATTTAGGGGCAGATTGTGCTCAAAAGGAAATGGAATTTTAAAACAATAAAATAAAGTTATAAATATGGGATACAGCTGGATAAGAGAAATTCAGATCTTTGGTTCCTCTGTTTTTAAGAAGTATTAATTTAGAAAATTTAGATGCTCATGTGGCAATCATTGTTTATGATATAACATAAAAATCATCATTTACTTAATTAAAAGAGTGGGTTTCTAGTCTCGAATAAATATGTCCAAAAAATAATTGTAATTTCTCATCTTATTCTAGTTTTTGTCCTTGTTGGAAATAAATGTGATTTGATAGATTAAGAAGAAGTTACATATGATGAAGCTAAGCAATATTCATATGTACAATAATAATATATTTAGAATCTTAAAGCACCCCTCCATTATACAAGTTGCAAAACGAATCAAGGGATTCAAGAACTATTTCAAAAAATTGTAGAGGAGTATTTCAAATAACAAGAGGAATTATAAAACACAGTATATTTAATAATTATATTTGTAGGAAACACAAAGAAATGAGAAATAAAATAGCAAATTGAAAGTTCAAAAAAAATACTATTCTACCTGTTGTTGATAATTTTATTATATATTGTATTAAAATTACTACTTATCCCTTGAATCAGTGCTATTAAGATTTGTTAATATCATTCAATTCTTTTTATAATTTCTATTTTTCTTCGCATAACTATGAAACTTAATTTGTTAACTCAGTTACTATATTTTACATTAAAGAATAATGATCTTCTAATTCTGTTGCCCTTTTTTTCATCTCTTCTAAATGATAGTCTTCCTATTATTGTATAGATTATTTTAAAATGATATTTTCATTTTGATATTACTAGACTTTAGTATTTGCTACTTTTAGATGCTTATTTGTTGAGACCACTATTTCTTATAACTTTTAATTTTCCTAAAGTAATACGCTAATGATAAATAAGGATTATACTGTAATTTATTAATGGATTTCTAAGAAGATTCAGATGTTTCTTTTAATTATTTGTCTCTTTCAATTGAAATTTATTTTAATTAGTGATTTTATTATTTCAATTAGTTAAAGTCTTTCTCTAATTTTTCATTAAACGTTATAACAGCTTATAATTAATCGGTGAGATATTTAAGTTAATCTTATTTTTAATTTGCTACTTGGACAGACTTTACGCTGCCACTATCACTTGGTTCATAATATAATGATGATCTAAATTAATACATTTTAAACAATTAATTCTTGATCAATAAAATAATAAAAATTATAAAACTAATTTTAATTAATACATAATTTATTCATATTGAAGTGTTCCTCGTTTTTGTTTCTAGAAATTAATGAATTATTGATTTAATAGATTCATTTATTTCTATTAAGGAGAAACTTAAAATAGGATAAGAGTTTTCGAATTCTTAATCATCTTAGAGAGAGTCTAACAAGCTGATTAGCTTTTTGATTTGTTGTAGTACTCTCTATGAAAATTCTTTATCATGGTATAATGTTTTTTCATCGTCCAAATTCACTTATTTAGTAATGTTTCGCAATTTAAATTGTTTCTTGATTTCGTGTTGAATAATTATTGAAATATTGGAACGTATTATAATTAAGTAATTAATACGTTCTCTTGTTTTGTGGTTTAAGCTATCTGTATTTCCAATAAGTTCTATTAATTAACTAAGTCTATGGTATTGCTCTAGTATTAATTAATTTTCAGTTTTTTTTTCTATTTCCTCTCTAGGCTTCTCATTGAGACGAATATCACAATTCTCAGTTTTCGGTTTTTTACTATAGCATGAGCCCATTATTACAAATGTAATTGTAAAACTAAAACAATAATGATTATTTAAAAATTATTATATTCAGAACTCTTGAGAAAAAGATTTATTTCAAACCATACGTAATTAATTTCTAAATAAAATTACAAACCAATCCAATTTATTTAGGATTTAAATTTATTCTATGGCTTTAATCAAATGTTATTGATCTATTGTGCAAATAGGTAAATTATAGTTTTTTAAAGATATTAAAATTCGTACAAATTTATGATTATTGATTTACAACTTAAGGTTTCAATCGTCTTTTTCTTTGAAGTTCAGTGAAGCATCCAAATAAGAAATTACATCATTTAATATTGTAATAACGTGTTATTGAACATTCACAATCAAAACTACTCTATAATTTATATACCTATAATTAATATTAAGAAAATATTTATATTAAAAATTGTATAATTATAGTTAATTACAATAAATAAATTTAACTATTAGTCAATTAATTTTAGTTTAGTTTACTCACATAAATGAACTTGAAATCGAATTCTAAAAAGCTGCTAAAAATATTCATATATTTTGTTTAGATGTCTAAATCAAATTTAATTAATAACAATTGTAAATAAAATTATGGAATTCAATTTAATTAAATGAAATTAGTATTATAATAAATAAGAAATTAATTTTTTATTTGTTACTATTATTTCATACAAAGATTCCAAAAGCATAAAATATTATACAAAATTGGAAGAAATAAATCATTTATTTTTCTGATTGGTTGATAATTGAAAGAATTTTAATTCATTTCAAAATATTCAATAATTTTTAACTTAAACTTTTATTCAATATTCATCTGCATCATCTTCTTTTAGATCACCATTTTCCCACAATCCAGTGATTGGCATCCCATTTATTGTTGTTTTTCCATATCCATGTTTCAGACCATCTTTAAATTAACCATCATGTTGGTCGTCTTAACTATTGAACAGAATTCCTTAGCCATGCATTTTTCCATTTAGAAAATCACCTACACAAATCAAATTCAAATCTATACCTCTATAAAACTTATTATTTGGATATTTCATTTCTCCTTTTCCTGTGATTTAACCCTCTTTGAAATTACCCTCGTAAACAACTTTGTTACTGAAATAGTACTTCCCATACCCCTCCATTTTATCATCTTTAAATTAACCATCATATATATCTTCATTATCCTTATACTTTAAATATCCTCTGCCATTTTTTAAACCTTTTTAGAAATAGCCTTCATAGTCATAATCTTTAGTTTCTAATTTACCTTTTCCATGAGGCAAGCCTTACTGACTCTATCCTTAGTAGTATTCATCCTGTTTTCTGATTTCAAGGTTATTGATAATTAAATCACCTTTCCAAATTCCTTACTTAATATCATCCAATACATTACTTTTAAGATATCTTATTGTAATTCTCTACCCCACCCATTTCTAATGTTTTTTTCAAAATATCCTTCGAAAAGTTCTGATTCTTGCAAATAGATTCCATAACCATGCCTATCGTAACCTTAGATCTATCCTTTATAGTAACTTCCATCTTCATATTTGAGAATGGCTTCTATGCTATTTTCTTAATTAATTTTTTCTGGACATTGATAATAACCATGTTCATTAATCATCTTTTTGACCCATTCTGGAAAATGGTTTTCAATTTAGAAATCCTTATCAGTTATTTTTATTGGATTCCTTTTTAAAAATATTGTCGATTAATTGTTTGATAAAATATTCTATTAGTTTTATTATTCATTTTTTTTAATTTAGGAGGCAATTAAAGACTCTTTTGGTTATTTTACCTCCTAGTTAACGATCTACTATTTTTCTTATTTTAAGTCATTAATCAAAGATATCTTGCTTTAATTGTTTAAATTAATTTAACTAGTTGTTTATTGACCCTTTTTATAATATATTTAATTCTTACCACTTTAATTTAGCTATTGTGTTATGGCACTTTCATTTATTCCTTATTTTGATTTAAAATGAACTATTCTACAATAATATCTGGTTCATTGGTTTCACCTTGTTAATTTATACTACCCTAATTATTATTTGAGGGATCATTGAAACTATCTTAAGAGAGTTATCCACCCATTTGCTGTACAAAGGATGTAAATATTAATAAAATAATTATTAAAAATCTAATAATTTTATAAACATAAAATTTAAGAAGATGTAAGAATTGACTAGTATCAGATAAACCACTGATGATGATATTAATACCACTAGCTAATCTATCTAAATACCTGTGTTTAAGAGGCATTTTGGGAACAGTCTTACATTATTATACATAAGGGGTGAGCCATTAATCACAGTTGGTCCCCATTGTAAACAATTTATAAATAATTAGTTTAGGGCCTCTGACATTATGCATGATAGTTACTTTTGGTGCAGCCAGTTACTTTTTAATTTTTCAGATTGCAATTAGCAAGGGTCTTTATGTATACTACTTCTCAATTTTTGTTGCTGCATTGCAAATGTTTAGTTACTTGATTACTGCCCTCAAAAATCCTGGCATTGTGACTAGTTCTAGAGAATATAAAGGCGTATTGTAATGTATAGTAAGAAAAAGTGATAATTTTTATTTTTAAGGTTTGTAACAACCCAAGAGACTTAGGTGTATTGTATCATTGCGAAGATTGTGATGTGTGTATCTAAGGATTTGATCATCATTGTCCTTGGACGGGTAAATGTATAGGTAGAGGAAATATTAATGCCTTTTATATATTCGTAACTATGATACCAATATATATTGTATACTTCATCATAGTTTCCTTGTTATGATTAATGAAATAATATATTCAATCGATTTTTTTATTATTGTAATATATTCCACATCATAAAGCGAAAATTCCTAAAAATAGAAGTTTTAACCACTTTGTCATGGACAAGCCTTCCATTATTAAGTAATTCTTTGTTGATCTAATTGTTTAACTGAATTTAAGTTGTAGTTACCATTTATTTATTTAAACAGTCAAAATTACCAAAATTGAGAAAGTATTGTTTTGATAATTCTTCAATACAAATTAGAATTTAAAATATATCAAATTTTGAAAGTCTTGACTTCAATTAAAGACTTACATTAAACTAGAATAAATCATTGGATAACAATATTACATTATTCTATGTATGGTAACTGAAATATGATAATTAATGATAAGTTACTTAACAATTAAGTTATATATAATAGTAAAAATTTAATTAAAAGGAATTTTACTGGTTATTCAATATTATGAATGATTATTTGTTATAATTTATACTCTTATATTTCATTTCATTGTAGGCATGGCTGTGCTTAATGTGTAGCTGTCTGATGGTTCTTTCCATCTAGAAGTGATTGTTTTCATTTAAGTGAAAAATCTAATACCAGCTTTGCCATAGAAATTGGCATCACCGTTAAATGATCTCTTATTTCCAGTGAATGAAAACATAGGCAAAGGAACTGGGATAGGGAGGTTAATTCCAATTTATCCTGCATTGACTTCATTTTAGAATTTTCTAGCAATTGATCCATTCTATGTGAATATAGCTGTTCCATTTCCCCAAGGATTACTAATAATGTATATAAAGATTGCATTACCTGTTAATAATCTCTAAGGCTTGATCAAGGGTATCTGCATACAATATATTAAGGACTGGTCCAAATATTTCTTCTTTGTAGGATGTCATATTTGTGTTCATCTTAAAATAGAGCAATTGTATACATTATCAATAATGGTTGGACCAACGAAGTAACCCTTTGGATACTTTGGATGTTTAAATGATCTTCCATCCAAGATCAATTTACCTCCTTCCTTTTCAGCTGTGCCAACTAAATAATGGATTCTCTCATATAATTCTTTATAAGAAACAGGAGCAATATCGATATTTTCATGTCCAGGTCCAACCTTGAAAGATTTAGCTTTAGCAATAAGATCAGGAATCCATTCCCTACTTTTTCCTACAAAAATAGCCACACTCAAGGCCATGCATCTTTGGCCAGTTGAGCCAAAAGCTGCAGAAGCCAAAGCATTCAAACAGTCCTCCTTATCAGCATCTGGCATAATTACACCATGATTCTTGGCTCCCATATTGATTTGGCATCTCTTAAATGTTTTTGAAGCATTTTCATAGATATAATCACCAGCTTTGTTTCCTCCCACAAAAGATACAGCCTTGATATCAGGGTGTTCACAGATGTGTTTAGTTGTTTCAAAACCTCCTTGTACAACATTGACAACTCCTTTTGGAACTCCAGATTCCTCGAGTAATTTAGTCAAATATGTGACTGCTCCTGGTACTCTCTCACTTGGTTTCAATACATAAGTATTTCCTGTGACAATTGCAATGGGGAACATCCATAACTAAAATAATGATCTATAAATATACTGGAATCATTGCAGGGAAATTAAAAGGACAGACTCCTGCACAGACACCCAAAGGCACTCTGTAACTATAGGTGTCAACACCTTTAGCCAAATTCTCCACTGTTTCTCCCTACATGACATGTGTGATTCCACAAGCAGCTTCTACTACTTCCAATCCTCTAATGACATCACCCTTTGCATCTGCCAATGTTTTGCCGTGCTCCTCTACTATTATATTAGCAATGTCATCTATTTTAGATCTGATCCTAGCTTGATACTCAAACATATATCTAAAGTTAAATCTACGGTATACCTTTGTCTGGTTGGCAATGGCACTTAAGACCACGTTTTAAATGCTGTTTTAGCTGCATCGACTGCCTCATTGAATTCGGCTTAAGTGGTCTATTTAGTAATTCCAACAACTTCATCGGTTAAAGGAGATCTTCTTTCCAAAGCTATTCCTCCATTAGATGCTTTCCAGACTCCGTTGATGTAATTTTAAGCAATGTTGCTGAATCTAAAAGATTACTTTCGTAGTTGATTGTGGAACATTAATAAAATATTTGCGTATTATTTTAAATCTTTTAATCTGATATTAACTATTAAACAAATTCACATCTTAGATATTATTATACATGTTACTAATCAATTTTTATTGAATTCTCTCAATCTATTTGCTACAATAGAATCTGATGTCTGTCTATAATGGATTTTAGAATATCATCTTTTTATTATAAATAATGACTGTTTCTTTAGTTTATAATTCAAAAAAGTAATAAATATAAAATGAATCCTCATTTCACGACATCATAGAATAGAGAAATTATTAAATGAAGCAACTCATCTTTATTATTTAAAACTTCAACATAATATTGATGTAAAGCTTGTAAATCATTTTAATGTTTTTCTGTTATCTCTTGCATTTAATCAGGAGTTTTATTATTCACAATTACAGCATTTAATTTCTAAATCTATTCATTTTATTTTATTATTTATTTGCACAAATCTATAAAATTTTAATTCTATTACTGTCTTATTTCATTGATCTCCTTATCCTTTTATTACGACAACTCAACATACTATCTTAGTGTCTTTAATAATAGATAAAAAATACGTCTAAAATACTAGGCTACTCAAAAGTCCGTTCCTATTAAATTTAAAATTATTTTGTCATTGAATTCCTCCTTGAATGAGAACCTTACTGAACCACATTTAACTATCTTTCCAGTTACGTCACCTTATTGGATTTCTCTTTTAATTACAACTGCAACTTGGTAATGTTGGTTTCATCCATATATTTTAATGATTAATTATTCTGAGACATAGCATGATCTATTTCAGATTTATTTTGAGACTAGAAAAAATCAAGACATGTTGATTTTGGTGATTATCCAAATCGTTACTCAACCTCGCATATATAACTATTGTTTTATGAATATACTCCTTGATGTCTTAAACTCTCAAAGGGAAGTTTCTTATCATATTAATTCATGCTTTAATATTCTTCGAGTTCTAATTTAAACTTCTCCATCTTCTTCTTAAACGATGTTGCCTACTATTCCGCCTCGTAAAGGCTCCTCCTTAACGTGGTTAATTATGATTCATATTAAGCTTGCTTTACTCCTAAAATCCTTTAATGCTCTTCCTTGATCCCTTGGATTTGAGCCTTCAAACTCTCTATCGTTTTCAATTCCTACGGATCTTTTATTATGATCTATTGTTATTCTGGTTCAATTGACCTTGCAGTTGGGGGACATGACAGTAACTATGATTTAAGGGTTTAGTTCTTTTATTGCACCTTAGCTATTTCCTTTTACTGGTTTTACACTAGATAATTCATGTCTTCTATTATTTGTTTATTGTTTTCGATTTCTTTTATATATTCCTAAAATTTATTGTGCACTTCCTCAAAATCTCCACAATTTAGTTTTGATAAGAAGAATCCTTCTGAATCATATAACTGTCCTATTCTTTCCCGCAATTCTGTAATTTTCAATTGTTAATCTTCGACTTTATTCTGATATTCAATTTTCATCTATTCAATTTGTTTATTTTGTTGTGCTATGATACTATCCTTTACATTAAGGCTTTCTTCTAAAGTAATGATCGTATTAGTTGTCTAATGCTCAAATTATCCAAAATCTTGAAAACTTCCAATGTCGTCAATTGGGTTTTACAAAAATCCCATGATCTCTTATTATTATTGCGGCAGTAATTATTACATCATCTCTATCAAATATTGTGAATTCACTCGTAACAGTGTATTTATAAAGTACTATATAAATTTTGCTAATTCTAAATTGCAATCAGAAAGTGCGATGTCATCATCAAAGTCTATAACATCTAATTTATATTTTTTTCTTGCCAATTGTATATTATGAATAATTTGGTTCCATAATGCTCTTCTGACATCCATCCCTAGACTAGAAATTTTGAACATTATATTTACTAATCTTCTAATAATTAAGCAAACACTATGCCATCTTGAATTTCGGTAAAGTTATGCATCTACCTTTTTGAGTAATTCCATTTATTTAGCTATATCAATAGTGATGATTCTTACAAGTGTAATAGCACTTTTCATTATTAATTATTGATAAAAATATTGAAAAAAACAATAAATTCTTATTGATTATTCTTTATTTGAATTCATAATTCTAAATCATTGTTAAATCTTCTATTAATAAAGCTATTAAATATAGTTTATAGCATAACCTAAAGAGATTGTAGGCATTTTTTAAATGAATAATATAATTTAAGAGAATTCGAACTTCTTTTCAAATTTAATTTGAATACTTAATTATTAATTTCACTTCAAAGAATACAGGAATAATATATTCTAATTCTTGATCAGAAATGCTGGTTATTCACTTCTCTCTAACAAGCTCGCTTGAGAATTTACAAAGTGGAACCATTAATCTCTTTCATTCTTTAGAAGTAAGAGAAGTATGTCCATCAGAATTAAGTATTTTTAACATAAATATATATATAAATTAAAGACTTTAATCAGTGCTTTTAAGGTGCTAATTTAATCTTTGATAGTTCTATGATTTCTTTGTTGGTTTTGATTAATCTCTGGAAGTTATGCTGGCTTTGGGAATTTGTTTGTATTTAGAAAGACTTTTTGTAGAGCTAGTTCAGTCGATTTTCGGAATATGATAAGTAAGATCCTTCTTGACTTATGAGATTCTACATTTGATCGTATTTTTATGTGTCTTAATCTTTATCACCGAGATCTAATAGTTGAGGTTAGGATTAGGGCTTATATTATCTTCGAGATAAAGTACAATGTTACTTTGAGAACAGTTTTAAGGCATTCTCATTATCCTTAAGTAAGTTGAATTTCATACTTTGGTATTTTGATTAAGGTTTATTCTGGTTTTAAGAATAACACTTTATTTAATCTTACTTTGTAATGATTTAATTTCTTTGTCGTCTACGCTCCATAGATACAATTCCTTTTCTTAATATTGGTCATCGACATCAATGGAGCTCAAGAATCGTTGAGTTCTGCTCGAATATCGACAACCTTCCTTTGTATTGTTTAGCTAATTGTTATACTTTCTGTCCGAATGAAAATTAGAGATCTTGGAAGTCCTATTCAATTTGAGTTGCACAGCATCTCTTCGCTATTCTGAAATCTCCTTGATTTTCAATTAATGGGGATCAATCTTCCTTTATTCTAGATTTTTGTATAAGTGCCTTGGTGAAGACGATTTGCCCTTTGGAGCAAACATACTCATGACCATCTACATTTATAGTCTTTGATGAGCAGCTTAGTCTTCTTTTTTATTCCGATATCTTTGGATCATCTTCCTAAAAATATGAGCATATTTGGTAATTTTAGATAAGTCATTTGCTTATCTGATCTACTGTCTTCTGTCAATAATTGAGTCAATTAACTTAAGTCTATCATGATAGTTATCAAGAGATTCGACAGCATTTTTTATTTAAGCTCTGGAAAAAACATCAGATATTTGGTTATATGTATTAGCTAATTTTTTATTCATTATATTATTGAGTAGATATTATAAAATCAAGTAGTAATTTCTCAAAATAACCATTATTGGATTTAATACAACCTAATTTTGGTAATACGTTATCAAATATATTTATGCTTCTCCAGAAAGTTATTTCATAATAATAAATAATGTTAAACTGTACAATCAAGAATTGATTAGTTGATCAGCAACTAAACATGAATAACTAAATAATAAACTATGCCAATATTATTGCCATTACATTTGTTATAATTATATTATGTTCAATATACTTAAAACTAAATCTATACATAAACAAGATAATACGTAGGAAAGTTATGATGCATTCAAAAGACCTCCAGATTTTTAGTTCGCTGAAAAACATGGAGTATAATAGACTTTGAATATAGCTAGCCTCTAGATTTGCAGTAGCCGATAATGAAAAAGTATAGTTTTGTGTTTGTTGTGGAATGCCAATCTAAAATGATCAGTTACCATTGTGTTGTGATAAATAGGATATTAATTTTAATGGGGCTGGGATCCCATTGTATTTTGAGTTCATTTAATTTGCTGCAGTTTTGCTAGTAACCTTGGGGTATTTTTGTATCTAACCAAATAGATTGATATCAGGCATATACAATACTGTGACTAATGTCCAAGGTAGCTCTTGTGAAGAGTAATCAGATACTTGTTCTTTGAATTATTACAATAAATACGCTTTGTCCAACAAGGCAGAGTAAATTATTTAAAGTCTATAATAGATAATATGATGTTGGTCTTAATGTTTTAGATTTAATTTCTACTCTCATCATAATTGGCTTTACGATTTACTATAGAAGGTGGATGAATTTAACTGCATAGGAAGTGGATAACTCAGTTGTTACCATCTCTGATTTTTCTATCTAAGTAAGCAATTTGCCTTTAGACGCAACCGAATAAGAAATAAAGGAATTTTTTAGTAAAATTGAAAAGAAGGGAGCTGAAAAATAATTACATATTTAAAGTATTTGTCTAGGATGGAACATTTAGTAGTACACTAATACACTCAATGATAAGTTAGCCAAAGAAATTTAGATTAGTAATTTGATAGCATTGTATTTTTTTACTTCATTTTCCATAGAGAATAAGCAGGAAAGTTGAAGAACAAATAGCAAAAAGAAGTACTTGAACAAGAAATAACTGCACTCAATAAGGATATTAAAGAGTTTCTTGAGGCATTTGATTAAAAATTCTTACTAAGTGGAGTTGCATTTATTACATTTAACACTAGCGNCTATCATGATAGTTATCAAGAGATTCGACAGCATTTTTTATTTAAGCTCTGGAAAAAACATCAGATATTTGGTTATATGTATTAGCTAATTTTTTATTCATTATATTATTGAGTAGATATTATAAAATCAAGTAGTAATTTCTCAAAATAACCATTATTGGATTTAATACAACCTAATTTTGGTAATACGTTATCAAATATATTTATGCTTCTCCAGAAAGTTATTTCATAATAATAAATAATGTTAAACTGTACAATCAAGAATTGATTAGTTGATCAGCAACTAAACATGAATAACTAAATAATAAACTATGCCAATATTATTGCCATTACATTTGTTATAATTATATTATGTTCAATATACTTAAAACTAAATCTATACATAAACAAGATAATACGTAGGAAAGTTATGATGCATTCAAAAGACCTCCAGATTTTTAGTTCGCTGAAAAACATGGAGTATAATAGACTTTGAATATAGCTAGCCTCTAGATTTGCAGTAGCCGATAATGAAAAAGTATAGTTTTGTGTTTGTTGTGGAATGCCAATCTAAAATGATCAGTTACCATTGTGTTGTGATAAATAGGATATTAATTTTAATGGGGCTGGGATCCCATTGTATTTTGAGTTCATTTAATTTGCTGCAGTTTTGCTAGTAACCTTGGGGTATTTTTGTATCTAACCAAATAGATTGATATCAGGCATATACAATACTGTGACTAATGTCCAAGGTAGCTCTTGTGAAGAGTAATCAGATACTTGTTCTTTGAATTATTACAATAAATACGCTTTGTCCAACAAGGCAGAGTAAATTATTTAAAGTCTATAATAGATAATATGATGTTGGTCTTAATGTTTTAGATTTAATTTCTACTCTCATCATAATTGGCTTTACGATTTACTATAGAAGGTGGATGAATTTAACTGCATAGGAAGTGGATAACTCAGTTGTTACCATCTCTGATTTTTCTATCTAAGTAAGCAATTTGCCTTTAGACGCAACCGAATAAGAAATAAAGGAATTTTTTAGTAAAATTGAAAAGAAGGGAGCTGAAAAATAATTACATATTTAAAGTATTTGTCTAGGATGGAACATTTAGTAGTACACTAATACACTCAATGATAAGTTAGCCAAAGAAATTTAGATTAGTAATTTGATAGCATTGTATTTTTTTACTTCATTTTCCATAGAGAATAAGCAGGAAAGTTGAAGAACAAATAGCAAAAAGAAGTACTTGAACAAGAAATAACTGCACTCAATAAGGATATTAAAGAGTTTCTTGAGGCATTTGATTAAAAATTCTTACTAAGTGGAGTTGCATTTATTACATTTAACACTAGCGTAAATTATTGAGTCTATATTATAAGTAAGAAGCCCAAGAATGTAGAAAGTTCCACAATCAAACAAAAATTTAATTGCTATTTCATTCATTTTATTATTGTTTCAGAAAAAAGAGATAATTAACCAAATTCAAAGGAAAAACACCATATGTGGTAAGAGCACCTGAACCAGGTGACATCATGTGGGAAAATCTGGGAGAAAAACCTTGGAAATAGATTTCGAATTAAACTTGGACAAATTTAGCAACACTTCTCATTTTGTGTGTATGTTTTGCAGCCATCCTTGGAATTTCAATTGGATAAACTTCTTTAGCTAAAAGTGGATCAAAATCTGAGAGTAAATCAGTGGGATTTATCATCACATTTTTGGGTTTGGTAGCTTCCTTTATCATTTCATTCCTTAATACAATTATGGCATTCACAATAAGGAAGCTAGTATCATATGAAAAACCATATACTTAAACAGATTTTAATATTAGTTATGCAAATAAGCTAGGAATGGTAAATTTAATTATTTAATTAAGTCCTAATTTATTAATACCGCCATCATACCATTATTAGTTAATCTAACACTATAGGATGAGGAATTACTAATAAGCTTATGGAAAAGTGGAGGACTCAATTCTGATGTGAGTCTCATTTTAATTATGAATGCCATATTTCCATGGTTAATCAATATTTTTGACCCATTCTACTTTTGGAAATTAATCAAAAGATAGAGAGCCAAAAATCAAGGAAGTTAATGCACACTGACTCAAAGAGAAGCTAACCTGCTCTTTGAAGGAACTAAAAGTGACTTATCTCAAAAATATGCCACAATAGTTAAGTCTTTAATGTTGACTTTCTTTTATGCTTAACTATTGCCTATAGGAATACCTATTGCTTTGGCCTTTTTATTGGTAAATTATTGGATTGAAAAATATTTACTATTGAAAAGATCATCAAGAAATGCTCCTGTAGGCAAATAATTGGCAGAGGAGATGATAGATTTGTATATAGAATTGACTTTATTGCTTTTTGCAGCAGGAAATTGTATTTGGTAAAAGGTTGTAGTAGGGGATATTAATCCGATTGTTTGGACATAGTTAGCAGTGGCAGCATTTTAATTCCTACTTCCTGTTGACTGGATATTTGAATGGTTTTTCAATTTTGAAGAGGTTCAGACTACAGAAACATATGAACAACAGAAAAGTTAGTTATGGGATGTAAGATATTAGAATATTAAAGGATTATTTAAAACGAAATCCTGTAACTCAATAAAAATGTATTGAATAATGGATTCAGGAATAGGGAGGAGAATAAAATAAAAATGTCTAAGGATTTTTGTAAAAATTAGAAATAAAATACTAACAAGACATGACAGAGGCCCAACACAAGCTTATCAAAAAGTTTGTACCGAAAGATTTAATCAATGTATGTATAATTCACTCTATCCCAAGTCTCATTATGAGATCAGAAAAAATCAAATTCTACCAAATAATCTAGAAGAATCTTTATTATTCAAATAGTAAGGAATGAATGCTCAGAAACCAGAGATCAGATAAGCAGAATCCCTCTACTTTCCAAAACGAGAAACAGAATTCGTACCTAATAGACCATAAATTAAATAAGCTGATTCTTTCACATATGATTGAATAAATTTATATAAAATCCAATATGATCATGGTTAACCTTATGAAAATGAAGGGGATACATATTTCTTTGACTTTTTTGGTTATTCCATCTGCTGCGATTAAAATACAGGTTCTTAGTGTACTTAAGGGGAAGTCTGCTTTGATTTCTACAAAGTCTTATTGAATTATTATTAAGTTCCAGGTGATTCATCAAATATTTTATACCTTCTAGTTTAACTAGTCCCAATTTTATCGATGGTTTAATCTAGTTTTGTTACTGGTTATAAGTATTATTATAATAAATCATCTTCAGGGTCATAAGGTACATCAGCAAGATGCATAGTTTTAACCTATTACACATCTTGATTTTGAACATACTGTTCTTATTTCTTATTGCTCATTTCATTTTGGTTTGATTAGGGATTATAGGGAACTCTAGAGAATTCCTATTTTCTTGAAGCAGAGGGTCTCAAATACTTATCCAATTAAGTAGTATCTTAATAATTCTAATTTGGTTAAGGAGAATTGAACTTTTAACCTTATAAGATAGTTTAGTAAGGACTTAGATAATTTTATGATTGACCTGAATTTAGCCTTTATTCTTGATCGATTTGCTATTCAGATACTTTAGGATCAGGAGAACTGTATCTATTATAGTCAAATTTCTAAGCACCCACTTAGGGTCTTCTCCCCGTGAAGAATTCATAATTTGAGATTCCTCCTTGATCTACTGGTTCAACAAGGGGAGTCTATTCTTAATCATTATTAAAATGTTCGTTATCTTTTAATTAGGGATGATCAATGTAGACCTAAGGTATTTGTGGGACAAAGAGATCTTCTTATTTAAAGATCTCTGGTATCATTTAAGCCTTGGTCTCGATCAGTTTGTATTCGGGCTATTTATTAATGAGGACTGCAAATGGGATTAATGGGCAATATTTTATAAATTGTTGAGAAGAGATGATAACATCATTGCATTTAATCCTTTTTTTCAAAAATTGAATGTCTTGATTACTAAAGATATACTCCTACTTTTTCATAAAGTTTATAAGACTTAAATTATGCTATTATCATTACTTAAAATTAGGCAATTGATGACTATAATCTTACACAAGAGTGCAGAATTGCTTACCAGTTTCTTTGTGTTTTTCAAACAAAACCATTCTTATTGGTTCTGCCTATCTAAAAAATGCTATTTCAATTTTTAATAATCGTTAAAATAATAAGAGCAGATCTGATACGATCTATTGATTAACATTTTTGTGTGTCTAAGTGTCTAGAGAAGTATCTTGTGGACAAATTAATTGATAAAAATCATCCCAACTGATTTAATAGTTATCACTGGAGTACAACTAAAATATGTACTCTAATTCCTTATCATTTATGCTCATCATAAAATTGCTGAATAAGGGATAAGTACTACAATTACCTAAATAAATTCTGTATCTCATCTCTATTGATTCCTTGAGGGTTAGATGCTAATTTATTGTAAATTGTCCTTGCTTGAAAATGGGGTGTGATGCTCATAGCAATTCTTTATTCCTCTAACTGATATGATTATCTTCTCATACTTTCGATTCATAATAACAAGTCATCTTAATCAAAGTAGCTATCTCAGCAAGATGCTCCGGTGATAACATTTATTTAATAATATTTATAAGTGCATATAAACTCTATCTTACTTTCTAATTTATGTAGTAAACACCACAATCGCTTTATACTAAGTAAATAATTTCAAATAAAAATGGTGTCTCCTTTCTATCCTTGGCCAAAGAGTCGAAAATATTTTAGAACACCAACAAATTTATGGATTAAATTTGAAAATCCTTTTTAAATAGAATACAATCTAAATTGGGATTATGAGACCCATAATCTTTCTGCGTCGCTTCAAGTATAATAAATATAACTATTTTCAATAACCCTCTTTATTACCTAAAAATATCACACAGATTATAAGATAGGGAGTATCTTTCTGATTCATTTTTTAGTATAGTATAGGGATGCTTAATAAATTTTGAAAAACTTACCTAGAAAGTATAAGAAATTAAGTAAATCACCTCGCAGATATAAATAGATTTACGGACTAATACCTAACAAAAAAGGGTTTCATATTTATATTTATATATAATTTAATAATATTCAGAAAATATTATGAATCGTTAATTTTCTTCTTATTATGGATCGCAAACGACAAGGAGTAGGTTAAGATCTAATAGTCCCACTCAATTAAAGAATTTAGAGTTTATAATTAAATCAGCACAGTAAAAATATAAGTCTTAATAATCAACTCCTATTCGAGGTTAACATATAGTTGCACCTCTAAAACCTTAAAATCTTGATATGTTTAGTACAGCTTCTGAAATTAGAAAATTAAGAGTGCAGAGTATGAGAAGTCAGTCACAAATTGATAATAAAATAATTTGGAATTAGGTTTAAGATCAATTGGAGAAGAAGACGGGGGTTTGTGCTGAGTTTGAAAAGCTGAGAAATAATTCAATTTATAGAAAACTGAGGGAAATGAAGCTTTAAGAGAATGAAGAAAAGAGACTGCAACTGGAGAGAAAATTGCAAAGGGAATTATTGGCCAAGAACTAGAACCAGGAGAAATCAATTAACAAAGCATAATAGAGATAGATTGAAACCAAACGACAACCAAAGTTTTAATTGTCTACCATAGTGAATGCTTTGACTTTGATACAAATACATTCAAAAACATATTCTATGAAATTAGCAAAGTTAATAGCAAAGAATTATTTGAATATACTGGATTACAATAATTACATGGAATAGAAAAGATTAAATGAGAATCAATCAAGTCAGAATACTCCAAGGACTCCCAATTTAGAAAAAGAGTAAATTTTAGAAATTTAAGATTTAGTTAATGGAGGGATACATTAAATAATAATTGAGAATAAAATAAAAAAGCATCGAGAATAATTAAAAGCGAGTGAAATATTCTCTGAAGATGTTTTAAGAAGAGTGAGACTCTTGCAGAGTTGTTTTCATCTCAAAGTCTTCAGCAAGAAGAGCAAATCCCACAAATATCGGAGGCAGTAGATTATTGGAGTTCCCAGTACAAGGGTTAAAGCACAAACTAGAAGATTGGGTGACATCAAATTTATGAACCAGTATTCTCCTAAATCCAATAAGCCTGGAGCTATGCTAAATACAAATAATGAATTGAAATAAAATAAAAAATCTTTAAGGCTTTTTCGAAGTCTCACTAAAGGATCTTTAACAACCTAAAAAAGTTTATTTTTCAATAGACAAAACACCAATGAATTCTTGCTCAAGGGAGTTTAGATGCTTCATTATCCTATCATCAAATACATATCCATTTTTTACAAAAACATGGTAGTTTGGTCGATCTCTTACAAAGACATTACATTGGACAAATCTTGTATTGTGTTATTTTTTAAAGGAGAAGGCAAATACAAATATCGATATCGTTTGGATGTGCCAATAGGATAAAATCCAATGATAAATTACAATGAAAATTGTTTGACTGTTTGGCCAACAGTCAGAGATTATTTGATTAGTTATTTGCATATGAAAGGACAATTGGCTTTGCTTGATTAAAAGTAGTTACCAACAGCTTAAGTTTATAAGTTGAATTTCATAAAAGGATTAACTGATAGATCTCGAATGAAAATTACTAGTTTAGACATTCATGGCATCACAGAAACCAAGAAAATACTGGATTATCTATAAAAATCTTAGATAGTAAAGATAAAAAAAGTATTTGGCACTGTTTATGAGTTACTTCCTCAATTTATTGAAGTGAATAAATATGGATAAAAGAAATAATACATTGTTAATTTGCCTTTAGTTCACAACATTGTGTTATAGCTTAGAATGTTTGAAGAGCAATTGCTATTGTAAAAACGAAGTTTGGGAGAGGTTGAGGAGAATTTGATTGATAGATACTCCTCATTCCTATGTGGGAACACTGATTATATTAATTAAATCTTGATGTTTCGATTTATTCACAATAACCCTGACTTTTTTCAAGATTAAATGTTAAAAGACATACATTTACTATAAGAGAGATCTATATACATTTAATCAGCAACGTTGAAGTTGAATGATATCCTATAAGTGGAGAGTAACACCGATCATATATCTTATGGCAGTTATTGTTTATTGAGTATATTTTTAACCATCAATTGCAGTGTTAATCTAAAATTATTACTATTGGATGTTTCAGATAAGTCAATGTATACAAATCTTTCTGATACCATCAATTTATTTGAATATGTATGCAAGAAAAGAAATTAATTGCAATTGATTTTTAATTAAGAATACTTCCAGTTCTAAATCAAAGTAACATTTCATGAAAGAGATGAGGCAGGTTATAATAGAGATGTATATTCAAAAAATTTATTTGCTGATAAAAAAGACAGACAAGTCAAATAACTAGTTTTGAGTGTAAATGAATGGTTAAAACTATGTAAGGCCATTAAAAATAGTGTTCTGGTGGACGATTCTGAATAGTTTTTCGATTTCAATAAGTTAGTGAAAAGCATTCTGTTAGAATAACCATATCATTCCAGAATCGCTGAAGAAACCTTAAAGTCTGTTTTCTGTATCAGTTTAAAGAAGGAACAAGTGATTTTAAAAGCATCCTACAAACACATCTTGTCGGTTTCATATAATTTCATTGAACAATTGGATCATTACAACTTTTCAAAAAACCTTGGGTATGTTCACAAATATAGCATATACCCAACTGAATATCGTGATATCAAATAGATCATAAAGGAATAAAAAAAGTCAACTCTCACTTCAAAAGATGCTAAGCAATTTAATAAATAATTCAAACAAATTAACACTGCAGATATCAAATTAACAAATACTAATACCAAAATCTCACTCATTGTTGACTATTAATATGAGTATCACATATCTCAGAGTATACCTGTAGATTGTAATTAGCTATAATTAATAAGTTACTGTTAATTCAAAAGGAACCATTTCGTATATTAGATAGTCAATAATAGAGACAGCATGAAAATTATAATACAAAAGTTTTTCAAAGCTCCTATTATTATTAAGGTTGAAGATACAGATATAATATTTAAGATATTGAATTGTTAACACCTATCTACATTTTTGCTTTCATAGGAATTGATTGGATGCATGCATTAAATCTAAAAGAAGAATAGTTTTTTAACAAACAATTTATAATTTTTTATCCAAAAACACAAATACCCATTACCTAGTTACAAATAAATCAAATTCATGTTGATTAATGATTCGAATAAATTGTTGAATTATTTAGATCGATTAAGCTTTATGTTTTTATTTAAACAAACCTTTAGTGGTTCTCAGATTTTAGTGCATGCCAAAATCTATTTTATATGCAAAGATTCTCATACAAGATATGATGAAAAGATCTATTTTTTTCATTCCGAAGATTTATTTCTTGGATTAGAAATTCAAGAATTTAAGTCAAAGCTCAAAAAGTACATTATAATACTCAACAAATTTGACTTAGAAAAGCTATTTGACATCAAAGGCTACTTAGACATATCAATAGTTCATTATTGGTGTAAAACTATAATCAATAACCTCTCCTTTGATAAGTAGAACATTTATAGATTGCCTTATCTATAGAATCTGAACCAATACATAATCCCTAAACTTGATGATGAGGAAGAAAATCACAGACTAAAGGCTTAGAGAAGTATGACTAATGATTATAAACACGATGAGTAGAATGCTGTCTGTAAGTAGTTTCTTTAACCCCAAATAAAACTATTTAGAGTGATAGGTCATTACATTATAAAGTATTATGTATTGAAGAATTCAAAGAAGGTCAAACTAGCAACTCGATTACCTTAACATTTTCATAATGAATTTGATTCTTATAACATCGAATATATCATAATCACCATTCAAGCTCACAACATCTTTGATATGTTTAGAATAATGTACTATTTTCCTAAAAGCAGAAGAAGACTAATGACTCATATTTCGATATTGCAATTTTAAGAAATGGACTTCAGAGATAATCTAATCTTTGATTTGCTTGATTATAATGAATATAAGACTTACTAAGATATCGAAGTATACGTAAAATCTCAGAAGTGTGGAATTCATTTCAAACACTCAATTTAATTGGATAAGTAGGTTTTAACACGAATCAAATTCATGAAACAATCAGTTGACATCTAGAATCCATTTTAATTCGCATTCAAGAAAAGTTAAAACAACTTTTTAAAAGTCAGTGATGATCTGATTACCAAAAATAGATACTTGTTATCATAGATAAAACAAAACTAATAGCTCTCAGATAAAGTTATTAAGTTTATGCAATTTACTCGAAAGTTGAACAATGACTTATAATTTGAATTGTAAAATAAATTAATTGAAATAAAGATATGGGAACTCTTGCTGAATCAAGTATTTGAGTTAAAATTCAACAATTCCAAATCGATCAATAATTATATCCATTTGATTGACAGACTAATTTAGACCTTTGATTAAAAAAAACGAAATTAGGTCAAAATCATTGGCAAAGAATACTTGCTCAAAAAATAATCAAGTGGTGCTCTCAAAAACAATTACACTGTCTAGTCTAATGTGACTTAATTGTACACTAGATTAATTCTAACCAATAATATCAAAGTCACTGAAAAATTGAACTTCCCTGACACTGATATTAATTTAAACATTGGTTTTCTTTAATATCCCTTATTAGAATTCATTTGCAGTCAGGAAATTAAATTAGAAAGATTAGGTAATGCATATCTGGAGTGTTTCATTGAATAAATCAAGAAGACTTAATAAAATCAATAAGTATTCTATCCTTAATAGTTAATATCATATTCGCAATCTTCTGATTTTAATATCTATTTAAGGTATTACTGTTTATAAAACTTAAAATACAAGGATATCAGATTAAACATGAGAGAATTACTGAACTTATTCATTGCTGATGGGTTTTTCAAAAGTAAAACTAATTACATGAATAGTAGATTAAGTTAATCGGATATACAGAATATGTGCTATTATCTAGTATAAAAAATTAGAGATTAAAATTATCTCAATTTGTCTTCCCTTGTTTTGTTAAAAAAAGAGAGGAAGTTTTCATTAGCCTCATAAATTCTATTAGAAACTCAAGATTCGTTGATTCCTAATTAAAATAACTCAACTATGCTTTTTGATGAAGGATACCTTTACACGCAATCCATTAAAGGAAATAAATGTTTTCAGATTCTCTAATTATAAATTTTCCCTTCCACCAAAAAAATAATTGTTAACTTGAGTGATAGCAGAGCAATATTATTTTAACAAAAGATATATACCTTCTAAGAAGCAGAAGAATTAGTAATGAACTTTCTTATTCTTTTCAAATCCAAAAATGTATAATAAGCCTTGAAGCGTCTTGCTAAAGCTCTAGAATACAATTTAATTCAAAAGCAGAAAATATGATTATATTATATTACTCTTTAATTAACATAAATTAACTTCTCGTGATATTAAATAACATATATGCTATTCTAACTCTTTATTCCATCACGTAAGAATACTTAAAAGAGTAAACAAGAAACAACTTTATTTAATAATTTTGTGTTAAATTTAATTTATAAATTTAAAAATATGATATGAGCTAGATTAAACAATCGAGGTGCAAATTTTAAGTGTATGTTTATTGTTTTAAATATAAATATCTAATGATTAAGGGTTGCCATTTTAATTAAATTTTATGAAAAGTTCTTTTTTATAATTAATTTTGTATAATTACAACAAGTATTTAGTGGAAATTCATTTTTTGCTCTGTTATGATCATTAATAATGATCAAATCCATCATTTTTACTATATATAAAAAGGATGCAAAGTAAATTGATGGCTTTTACCAAAATTCTTAGAATGATTTGAATAATTTAATTTTCGCTAGATAAAATAATACAAAGTTATATCAAAAATGTGTGATTTTGAATCTTAGTTATAACACTTAGACGTATTGGGTTTATCTGTAATTTCTAATTTGTAAATCTTATATTGATATCATAACAATTATACAAAGATACTTTATATTATTCATTTTCTGTCAAATAATAAATAAAATACCTAAAATGATATAATAAGTTTGTTTTTATTTCATTTTTAGTGAATTGTGTTGTTCAATAAAATTATTATAATTAATAAAATTTTGATTTAAAAATATATGATTTAAATAAAAATATAATTTATTTGCCTAATAAATTTATGGGAAATCAGCAAGTTTTCGTAAACTATACTTCTGGCCTTGCTTTTATACAAGACTTAAATGAATAATTATTGGATAAAGGAACTTAGATTCATCCTTCTCTAGGACCCATTAAATTATGGTAAATGAAAAAAGACCCACAAACCTTTTTATTTTCTCTCGTATTTATGATTATTATTATCGAAGGTTATTTAAACATCAACACTGGATGCATAATTACTATAAATACATTAATAGAGATGCAAAATGTAACATCCAAATTTATTAAAATATTATGCCTGCTCTAAGTCATTATAATTGGCAGGTGTAGAGAAATAATAATATTTTTTTGAGTATTAGCCGAAAACACTAAAACAACTTACAATGCAAGCTCCATTAAAAGAAGAATAAATCTGGGCTGTATCTAATATTATAAAATTAAGTTTGTTGAATAAATTGTAGATGTAATGCAATATATACAGAGTTTGAATAAATTTCATGGAAACCTAACCTCAGAAGCAATTTTTATTGATAAGTAACAAAATGCCAAACTGTTAGACAACTTAGGCTAAAAACGGTAAAATATAGATTCAATTTCTGAAGATATTTTTTAATTGGGACTATTATGCTTAGAAATGATGACTCAAAGATGTAATATTAATTTATATTATCTATTAGCAAGCTAATTGAATTTTAGCAGTGCTTTAAAACAGCTGATGGGTAAATACAGTTTATAATTACTATAACTAACAAGCAAATTATTACAAAAAGATATTGAAATGGGATTGGATTTTTTTGAATTAAAGAATATAATAAAAAATAGATTTAAAATTCCTATTACTATCAAATAGGCTAAAATTATCAAAACTGAATAAGGGTACTAATCTTGTTCTAGTATCTAAATACTCGATGTAGCTGAAATACAGAGAATTAAACAACTACAACCTTAGAATTAAAATTAACATTAAGCAGAGATCATAAACACCATAAACTAAAACTAAATCCAAATCCAATAAATTAAGGGAGGTTATTTATAATAATTCAAATAATTAAATGTTCTCCCATAAAAATAATAAATTGATCCAGATTTAAGGAAAAAGAATTCAATTCAATAAGTGTAGTTGAATTCTTATAAGAATTAATAACAAACAAATCAAAGTATACAATTATAAAAAATTCAGCCTCAAATAATAAATCATAAATAAAGACCATCATTATAATTCTAAAACTCTCATGTTACTAGTAGAAATCCTTCCCCAAAAGATAGGATACTATTTTCATAAGTAAAATAACCATAATAACCCTAAAATAATCATTTTAATTTGAAATAAGCACTAGAAATATTAGATAAGATATATAAAAATTAAAACAATGCATAGACAAAATCATAGTAGAAGATGGATATGCGTTCCTCTATTGATTCAAGTCATAGCACACAATTTTATTTATCATAGAATAAAAGATAATAGACATTACCACAAGGCTCTAGTTCTGTTATCTAAACACCTTGTCATAAATTTCAAAACGTATATATAACATTAATATTTAGATATAAGCACGTTCCTTCCAAAGTTTTCATAAAAAAAATGAAATTTGATTTATTACATTTAAAAATAATCCAACAATTATATAAATAGCCTTTACATATTTTTATGGGGTTTAACCGCCAAAAAATATAAACGTGATCTCGATTATTGACATGGTTTATTACATAATTACAACAATAAAAAACTGAGTATCTGACATACATTATCAACCAAGAATTTGTAATTTGAAATAGTTCAAAGTTGGGAATGTAAACATTAAATATGAAATCAAAAAATCTTTCTGACAAATTCTATGATTTCTCGTAACCCAAATCTTTATAAATGCAAGATAACTTTATCCAAAATAATTCATCACCATATTACTTATCTAAAGCAATATATTTTCCAACTAATCTCTTCTTGGATTATCTTTTGAATCTTAAAAGTGGAGAATTCATTATTCTGAAATCAACCAATTTTATTCACAATAATTATATTTGTAAAGGTTATTTTTTAATAAGGAGAATGTATCAGAAATGTGCATAAATAAAACAAAGGGAAGGGAAATGATTTATATATACATTTTAACATATTATTACTAATTGAGAATTGCATAATTTATGTCTAATTTAAACATTCAATTTATTGCAATTATTTCACTACTTATTTCACCCTTTTTAATTTGATCCAACACTTCTATTTCTTAGTTATTGCGAAACACTTGGACATGGACGAGCAAAAGTTCCATTCGAATTAGGTCTCCAAGGTTTTTCATAAGTTTGAGTTGCACTCAATTATTGAAAAGTATTTTATTTGGTCTTAGGATCTGCTGCACCTTCTTCCATATATTAAAGCACTTCAAATGTTCCTTAAAATCCTTTTTTATTTTGGTTAGCAGGTCTAAATGGAGCACCTTTATAAAAAGGTCTTTTTGTTTCTTAATTATTAGAATGAAGTATTTACGAGATAAATATCCAGCTCCATCAAGTAATATACCATCAGCAGTAAAAGGTCGATTACCATGACTTGTTGTAATAAACCTTGTAGTTCCTGGTAAAAACTTGTTCCTATGCTTAATTCTTTCTTGTCTTTCCAATTCCTCTTATCTATCATAAGGATCAGGTATATATTCGATTTATCCAAATAAATTATTAGATGTGGTTCTGCCTAACCCCTTCTTGGCAGGATTAGTTAAAAAGTTTCTGGCTTACGTTCTGACATCTCCAGTTGGAGTTCTTGTATTAAATACTTTATCATTAAATTCTTTCATGTGTTCGAATTCAGAATGTTTACTTTGAATATCAAAGAATACAATTACATTGATTTGATTTGATCATTTGGCTTGAAACAATTTGGATTTTTGATTGCTAATTCTCTTTCTTTATCGTAAATTTATTTTGCTTTAAATTGATCTTTGTATGGATCATTTAATGTTGTGTAACCAGGCTCCTAAAATAATGCAGGCTCATGCTTTTTCTATAATTTTGTATTGACCAATATGGCTTTTTCCTTGCCTTTGCCTAGATGCAAATAAGGAAATTACTTACTTTTTATAGCATCGTTATATTAGTCTCCCAATAACAATGGAGGAGGTTGATTGAATAATCCATGACGCTCTCTTTTCATTATGATTTTAAAGTTACCTTTGCGATATGTTTTCTAAGTCTCGAATATAATTATCGTTGGATGGTATTCTATACTAAGTTGACATATAAATATTTATATTATTCTTTTGAAAATACATAAAATATAGATTCTATTTTATGTTTTATTCAAGTAAAATTAGATTGTATTACTGAGATCAACCTTTGAATAGAGTAAATGATAATAATACTGTATTAGATTGGGGATATTTTTATAATGTACCAAATATATATGAAATCATGCCTTCTTCTTTAATTTAGCAGCTTATTTGGTGGCAATATCGATTTTTTTTAAAGCGTTAGCTCTTCTTTATTTAGCATTTAATCTCTTGGCTCTGTATTTGGTGTGATCTCTCTTTGGATTTTATTTAGCACCTCTCTTGACTCTGTCACTGTTCTTTCTGATTTCATCGTGAATCTTCTTGAACAATTCTTAAACTGATTTGACTCCAGCCTATTGATATTAATTTAATATATTACAGTCTTCAAGGTTTATTCCCAATTGTGGAATTAGACATCAAACTTAGATCTTCCATCTTTGTTTGTCTTCTTCTCCTTTTACAAAAGAGCCATGTATTTATCGACATGAACACCAAAGATTCTGTCCTTGTGAACATTGGCATCATATTTTTCTTTCTTGTCATTATCAACAGAGAATCCTGGGAATCTTCTGTTGTTGTGTGGGATGTGAATACCACCATCAGCAGCACCCTTTAAGGCAGCAAAGACTCTGTTTCCGAGAGTTGATCTGACCAAACCAATATCAAGTACTGCAAAGAATGGTCTTCTTTCTGGGTTTTCCTTATCAGCAACATCATACAAGTTTCCATCGATGGTTTTGTTGCCTTCATAGAATTTATCCATCTTCAATGTTTTAAGTGTTCTTCTGGCCAATAATAAACCTGTGGCATATGCAGCAGCATAGTTGGTTAAACCACTATTCAAACCAAATCTCTTTAATTCAGTAGATTCAGCAGCAGCCACAACCTTGTCTCCCTTTAAGGTGGCGTAGATCACTTAGCAAATGATCTTTGTGTTTGTGTGTCTAACTACAAATCTGTATTTTGGTGAGTTGTATTTATCCTTGTCTTACACGATCAATCTGCTTCTTGCATAGTAATCAGTCTTTCCTTCTCTTCGTCTTCTGAATTTAGTTTAGAATCTTTTGAAATATGGAGTTCCTTTAACAAGCTTAACAAATGCCATTAATTATTAAAAAGATTTGAATTTTCACAAATTATACTCAAATACTTATATATATATACATATATAAAATATTTATATTTCATTGAGCTATTATTGTTCAGAATTAAATGCTATATTCTTGATTTTATAAGTTCGTTACATCGATATTTGAATATCAAATAACTACTATTACATTATTATTAGATATTCAGAATATTTAGATCTTTCTCTCATTTAGTATCCAAATCTCGATATGTTATGGAGGAGTTTAACCATTTTGATAAGAAATTTCAAATTTAAACACAAAATACCAATTTTTTAAAGAATAAGATGATGAGCCTTTAAATAATTGAACTAATTTGAAAAAGCAAGTCTTCATAAGATTAATTAATTAATAAAAATTCTAAATCTAAATGAACAATCAATACTTTAAACAACCTAAATAATCTGAAATCTCGTTCAAACCTCTCAGAAATGTTAGACCTTCTGGATTTCTTAATTCTTTTGATCTTCTACCTTAAAACTACTACACTCCTCTTAAAATTTCAGGAAATAAATTTACAAAATAAAATTACAACCTTCAATAAAAGCCCGCTTCTTTAGATCCTATCTATGAACAAAGCTTACCTAAAATTGAGGAGAAGCGAAACCCATTTTAAAACAATGAAAATAGAACCTCATAACACTCTTCAGTGTACACCTAAGTACTTGCAATGAATTCGGATTTAAACAGAAGAATTAAAACTGAAATAGATGAGCAAAATGAGAAAATTATTAAGTTACTCAAGCATAGGGATAAAAGAGTCCAAATAGTCCCTGTTTTAGATCTCATTAATTAAGGCAATAAAATGGAACATGTGGCTTTGGATTAAAATGAACAGATGCCGAAAAGAAAAATTAAGAGATAATTAACTAATGGAAGGCTATTGAAATTGGATCCATGATAGTAATTTTTTATATCAGTTTGTGATTTTATATTAATTAGAAAATATCTAATATCACTTTAATTATTTTTCGTAAGCATTTAAAATTAAATATCAAATAAAATTAGATGACTATCCTTTTTTATAATGAAACTCATATTTATTTTCAATTAATCCTTTGCGGAGAAATTAAATGATTATAGTAATATTATTTAAATTTCGATACTAATTTTTACCTGAGATAAATTATGTTTCATCTTATTTTACTTCATTTAATTGATGATTTTACTTAAATTAATTTTTGTTAAAATTGATATTTTTTATAAGGAAAATGGTATTTCTTGTTATCTGGAAATTTCTATTACAATTAAATAATAATTATTATCTACCTTCGTATTCCTGTAATATTCGCAAATCAATTTCTTAAATCCTATCCTTAATCTCATATTACATTGTAAAATGGATTATTATCTCATGATATTCAATCTACAAATATAATGAGCCATATTATCCTTTAATAGTCTTGATTAGAAAAATAGTACAAAAATTAAGTATTAATTAGTACTAACATTAATGCAAAACGTTTTTAATTTAAATCAGTTTAATTTTCATTTATTAGATTTATGTCAATATGTTATAAACCCAATTATTCTAATAGTAATGTGTTAAATCGAATTCATTTTTATAAATAATAAGTTACTAAAATATATAGATTTAACTAATCAAAACGCAATACCAATAGTTGAACTAGGAAATTGCTTATATAATATGATATTAATAAAATGGAAACAATAAAAGTTAGAATTTTGATTTAATTTAAGTCTATTCATTTATTGACAAAAAATTAACTAATTTGTAAACAAAAAATATAAACTTAAAATATAAGGATGATGAAAAAGTCTTCTATCAATCCTTATTAAATGAGAGATCAAGAGTATTAATGAAGGGCATAACTGTTTGAAAAAGATACATAAAATTTATGAATATGAAGTTGAGAACTCAGAGGGAATTTAGAGTATAAAGTGGTTTCAAATGGAAATAGCATTTATATAAAACAGAGACAAAAAGATTTTATTCAAAATTTAGAATGATAAAAAGTGTGTTGAAAAATTATTGAGTTTTGTAACAATTTAAGATTTAAAATTGAAGTAAATTTTTTTAAATAATTCAAAAGAAAACTAAGTGAAAATAGGGGGAGCTGCCAATTTTTTAAGGATCAAATACTATCTCAAATTTGATAAGGAAAAGTATCGAAATATTGACTAGCTACTTGTTAATAAAATTTTGCAGAACAACCTACTTCATATATAATGATTGATATAAAACAAATAATATTTGAATATTCATTAATGAAGTTGATACTATTCTAAACTGGCTAATATTTGTAATCGTTCTTTATCATTAAGTTCATCAGCAATTCTTTTTTTAAATCTCATTATAGATTTTTCAACTGAGTATTCCATCATTTTTTCTTTCAAAAGTGTTTTGGTTGAATGTCCATCCTTCTTTTAAGTTGGAATTTAGATCTCCTCATTAATTGATTACTAAATTAATAAAAGATATTTACATTCCTGGAAAATGATACTTCTTCAATATCTTTGACAATTTTTTGTTCTTCATCTTTATCTTTTTAATTAAGTTCAATAACTCTCATAGCTATCTCTTAGGTTTATCTTCTTTTCTCTGGATTGTAGAGATCTCTTTCATCTCTGGTACTCAAGTCTTAAGCTTAGAACTCTTTGGAGATGACTTTTCTTCTCAATTCTAAGTTTTTGTCATCTTTCATGTGTAAATAAATGAGCTTGCATCTTTCAACATATAATGGTTCTAATTTGTTCTTGTATTAAGTATTAAACTTTATATGGGTGTAAACTTCTATGTCTAATGCCAAATTTTTAATATATTAAAATAAAGCTGTTTCAGAATTATTGATAATCTCTTTTTCTAGTTGTGTAATAGATGTGGGATCTCTTTAATACATGTCTTTTAATTCTTCGATTCCATAGAAAATAACAGAAAAAAACTTTTCTCTAACTTCTTGTCTTTTCTTTTCAAAACTTGAAGCGTTTGATTCCATTTGTCGATATCTCTCAACCCAGCTTTTCATTTTTTCCACTGCTTAAGCTGATATATTTTTATACGGTTGAGTTTGTTGTTTTTATTATTCAGGAGGATTGGCTTGAGGAATAGTAATTTCATGTTATTTGTTCTTGTCTCTAGAATTTCCATTGTTATTTGAATCATGCTTGACAATTTAGACTTTAGATGAGAGTGAGCCATCTTTGGTTTTAATCTTTTTGACTATTTTCTCTAAATCAATTCTTCTTTCATTTCTATCTAGTTATTCTTCTTCTTCTTCTTCCTCAATCTAAATTGCTCTCTATTATTCATAGATTTTTGGTTAATTTGATTAGATAACAATAGTAGATTACCTTGTTTACAATGCATCCTTAATGCGATCAGTAATTTATTGACTAGAAAGGATTTCCCTGCATGAATCACAATTAACATTTCCTTGATCGAATTGTTTAATTAAACATTCAGCATGAAATGGCTTCTCACATGAAGGACAAAGCACAAGTATCTAATCCGGATTTACATATTGACCACAAAAACAGAATTTCAATAGAGGCATCAAATCTTTCGATATAAATTATTGTCTCATCACGTATCCTTTCTTTTCTGCCATTTGAACATACTCTGGGAGTTTACTTAATTGGACTTTCTCAATAATATCTGTCATTTTCCCTTTCTTTAATTAATCTGTCTTAAACACTTCATATAATCCATGATGTGGTTGCTTACCTAATAAAATTAATCAAAAAGAAAAATACAATAATAAGGAATATTGGAAAATGTGTGTTGTATAATATTAATATACATAAAATATACAATATATAAACCAACCTGTTGGTAATTCTTCACTTAAAATATATTCGAAATATTCGAACCAATCCTCT